TTTCTCTTCCCTCTGGGCCTTTCAAGAGGCATGTGGGAGCCGAGAGCCCCTTTGTCTGCCTTCATTAAAATGAAGCCCAGGCAGCCTCTGCTGGCACAGCCCAGAGGCCGCAGAGTCCCCTGTTCACAGTGGATTTGGAGGCGTTTGCGCCCAGTGTGCGCAGCAACGGGACGTCAGGGCAGGTTCTAGTGGTGAACGCAAGCTGTCTTTACCCTTTACGTTTAGCTGTAGGATAAGGTCACCTTACACTGCAGTCAAAGCTCCGTCTCAGAACTTCTCTCACGAAAAGGAGGAGGAGCCTAATGAATGTGGTTGTCTCTCAGCCACGCAGACACCAATTCCTGGGCCAGCTGATAAAGGGACATTGTTTGCCAGGAGTCTCTTGCGCCCTTTCTGCTTTTTAATTAACAGCAGGAAGTGAATGGGATGGAATACAATGGTAAATAGCATGACTGCCATACTCTTACACATCCTTTAAGAATTATCCACAATATAGGGACGACAGTTTATTCGCAACAGTGTATGTATTATAGGTTGCAGTATTTTCCCGTTTTACTTGTACGGTGCCCATCAGACTTTCTGATCTTTTGTGATCCTCCTTACTGACCCCAGTCGAACGGGGTGGGGGAGGGGGGCGGGTGACAGTGTGGGTCTTTCATTATCCAGGAAACAAAGAGATAATTGACCCACTTTCCGTTAACTCGAACCAGAGTGGGACCAAACTAGGTCTCACGAGCTATTAGATACACTAAACAAGAAATAATTGGTTTAACTTTATTGCACGTCACAAGCCTAAGTTTCAGAACTCCATCCGTGGCTGCAGTGACTCCTGGGCGTTGGTTAGATGTTTTAAATTCGGGGAGCGGAGCCGGAGCCCCGCTGTGTCAGGCTTTGTCACGTGGCATTCATAATGACACCTCTCGCCCCGTGGGTTTTCTTTCATGGAGCAGTTTATTGAACTCAGCTAGTTGAATTGGATGTTAAGGCGAACAAAACAACATCTCCAGTATCCTACTTGTTATGAAGGCTTGGAGGACTTTGTACCAGAGGCCCTGGGTACCGGAATTTCAAAAGGAACCACAGGTATTTTTATAGGCTGTGAGAAGGAACAGCAAAGGTATCTGGTCAAATGCCATCGTAGGAAGGATAAAAGGAAGGCTAGACCGCAGCCCAGGCCTCGTGGCTTCTATGGAAGCGTCAGGAAGACTGGGCAAGAGGTGAGGTCCTCAGTGGGCGCTCCGTTCGGTTCAGCCCCCTCCACAGCCCGGCCTCTTTGTTTCAAAGCCAACTCTCCACTTTCTCCATCTTTTCCAGCAGATGCCTGGTATTCAAGGAAAAGTCCAGCTTTGCTGTATCTTCGACCTTTGCACAATTAAGTTTCACTCGGTTGTGTTTATAATTAAGCGTATGAGAGGCAGGACGAGGTACTGCCACAGTAGACTTCTGCACGGGGAACTGCAGTTGCACCTTGCGTAGAGAGTGCAGGTGGCATTCACAGATATTTGTGTGAACAGCATCTCTTCTCAACTCAGTCTCCAGCCCCCGCCCGGGTCACACGTGTTTTGCGTAGAGCATGTCGCCCCAGCACATTGCACGCTGCGTTGGGTTTTGTGTGTGTTTGATGTCTGCCCCGTCTGCCCCTTCACGCTGAGGGCTGTGCGGAGCAGGAGGTCCCATTTTACTCCCTGGGCGGCCTCACCTGGGCACAGCACCCCCCCCCGCCCTGCAAAGGCAGGCGCTCCGTGAAAGTGGAGGAAAGGAGTGGTCGGAGAGTCTTAGAAGCTGATGTGCTCAGCCCGACATGAACTAACTGGGTGCGGGGTGCGCTGAAACCTCCTGCCAATATTTTCCCATTGTCCCCAGAGAAAATAGCTGTCTGACATGAGCCCCAGATTCGATATCTAAATTTCATAATGGCTATGTCTGGGCCCTGGTGGTTCTTGTTCTTACCGAGCGTCTCCTCCCTGCTGTGGAGGTGCCGCGCTTTCTGCTTGCGGAGGGAGGGAGCTTCTTGGCAGCAGTCTCGGCCCCGGGGGACGTCCTGGGGTTCTGACAGCATCTGGCTCAACTGAAGCCATTTCGAGAAGGGGCCCCTTTCAGCGAGGGCAACAAGGAGTGTCTTGTTCTGTCCTCTGGAGTCCCTGCGAGGGGCCGCTGCGTCTAAGAGATGCCATTAGCATCCAGGCAGCATGCCACAGGAGTGAAAGATTTCATCTGGACTTCTGGAAACTAGCTGCAGGGGGAGGCCGCCGCCAGAGCCGGCCACTCGAGGCCGGACCGTGCCAGGGAACTCTTGCATGAGGGACTGCAGACGGCAGGAAGGGCCGTGGCAACGGCCGTGGCAAGCTCGGCGACTCTGACTTGTGGGTGTGGCCTCTGGAGACTGCGTAGGCCATTCTCAGGCTTCTCCTGGTGAACAACTTTTCCATCCCTAAGACACTTCATTTTCAGTTGCCTTTTTACTTTTCAAATTCTAGTTGAGCCTGAGTTAAAAAAAAAAAACAAAAACAAAACACCTCACCCAACAAAGAGCTGATATAAAAGATTTAAATGTTTGTTTGGGATTATTTTAAAGGAAATTGTGCTTCAGTTGTTCCTGATGGAACCGTCCTAAAGCCCTTTGTCCTGTGTTAGGGAGCCACAACGTGTTTTTTTAAGGTATTTATTTATTTATTTTTAGAGAGAGGGGAAGGGAGGGGAAAAAGAGAGAAACATCAATGTGTGGTTGCCTCTCATGCACCCCCACTGCAGGCCTGGCCCACAATCCAGGCATGTGCCCTGACTAGGAATCAAACCAGCAACCCTTTGGTTCACAGGCCGGCACTCCATCCACTGAGCCACAGCAGCCAGGGTTGGGGGAACAAAGTTCTTAAAAGCAAGACAGTCATCTATTGAAATGTGTGTGTACTGCTACGTGACACACCAGCTCGACCAGCACCCCGGCTCCTCTGCTTCTCAGGAAGTCTTGTCTTTCAGCACTCGGCCATTCCCTGCTCCCGCGTTATTTTATCAGGACCTGCCAGGCACCAGCGCGTCTGGGCCCCGGCCCCAGGCCCCGTTCGTGCTCCGACTGCACCACTTGGCTGTTCTGCTGTAGGCAGGCACTTAACACGCCAGCTTCAGCTTTGTCCTCTGGGAAATAGGCGTGGTGATATTTTGTTCCAAGACTGTTGTAAAGGTTAGGTGAGGTGGAACTCACAAAATACCACAAAGTGCCGTGCCTGGCACCTAAGTGCTCCATGAAACCGTTTAGGACAAAGCCCAGTTCCTACCCTCCTGGAGTTTACAGCCTGGTGAGAGAAGCAGGCAAGTCAGTAAATGGGGGATCGGAGCGAGAGAGATGAGTGATAATGAGTCCCCGTTCTGTGCCAGGCAGGGAGCCTTATAGACGAGACCTGCCTGTCTCCACGAGGCCACAGCTGACTAGGAGTGTGCGGAGGGGTGTGTGGGAGCAGGATCCTCAGACTGGGATGGGAACAGAGAATGGGCTCACACATCAGGGGAGGCTACCTGGAGGAGGTGAGGCCTGTGTTCTCAATATGCAGTGATGTGTTGAACCAAAGTCAGATACGGAAGTGGACACAGTACAGGATTCCATTTCCATAAAGAACAAGATAGGCAAAACAAGTCGATGGCGATGGAAATCAGAGCAGTGGTTACATTTGCAGTGGGGGCGGTCATTGAAAAGGAAGCCTCTGGCGTGCGTCTCCCGACTTCGCAGCCTGTGTACACAGGTGCATCTGAGTAATCACTCACAGAGCTGTCTACACACACACAAGACCAGTGCAGCCTTTTAGTCCACGTGTTCGTCAATTTAAAAATTTTAAATAGCGATTATGAGCGGGCCTCTCTTGGTAAAGATGGAGGTCGGGAGGTTGTTCTCGAGAGTGAGGATTGCTGACGGAAAGGTGTGGGGCAGCGTGAGGTGTTCCCGTGCTGTGGACGTCGGGATGGAAGGACAGGTACCAGGGGTAGAGAAGGGGTGGCAGTGAGAAGCATCTTTTAGGTGCAAGCTCTTATGGGAGACAAGACATCCTATTGCAAGAAGGTAGAGTGGCCCTGTAGAAACTGATGTTGGTTGCAACCGTACATGTTAGAACTTACCTGTCTGTGTGCTCATCCTTCTCACGGGCTTTTGGGAGGATTCTGTGAGATGACGGGTGCCATTGCTTTTGTGTCTGCCACGTGGTAGGGGCTTAATAAATGCTTCTGAAGAGATTTCAGAGTCTACGTGTGTGTGAGTTTCATTTGATTGCAATCCCGATATTTGACTTTCCAAATCATAAGCTGTATTATTTCAGGGCAGTGCTTGCTTCTCTGAAACTTTTGATCCTTTAGTTAAATAATTATTTTATTGCAATGTAATTAGAGTTTAATAGTGTATAAAAAAGTCTTGGTTCTTCTTTTTTCTCTTGAATTATTTTTGGCTGTACTCATTAAGCCATTTTAAGCCTCTGAGAGCAGTCTGAAAAAGGCCAAAGGTTTTCCGTTTCAATGAAGCTCATATTTGGCAATTCCAGTTGTATGGGGAACAAAACAACTTCAAGTATGTCAATTTCTCATTGTTTCCAACATGGTTTGAGCAGGGAAGAGGAAAGAGAGGGAGTGGAGACAGATTGATTTACTGGGATATTTTCTTGTTTAAGGAAATGTACTTTTCTGAAATGTGAAACATTAGATTACTAGTGTACGGAACATCTTTTTGTGACTGCAGCATGTAAGTGTAATCAGCCCCTTATTACATGTTAACCTGTCACGTGAGAAACTCCACTAAGGCAAGAGCTAGCCACGTTTATTCAGAATCTTTTGACAATGGCTTGTTTTCAGTGTTACCGTGTTAACACTCCTACCCTTGTTTGGAAGGCCAGCCCCTCGCCTCTCCAGATCATCTCTTCCACCTCCTGGTGTTTGGGGGATGGCTTTGCATCCTAGGGCATACTTCGTTCTGTGTCCGAACAACTGGCTTGAATCTCTCAACCGGATGTGCTGTCTGTGTTTAGGAGCGAGCGAGCCCGCTGGATAACGGCCCTGGGACACAGCAGCGGGAAGCAGCCTCTGGACCGAACCTGTAAGTACCTCTGCCGCTGGGGCTCTGGAACTTGAAACGTGGAGAGACTCTGCCCCCTGCTGGACGCTAGGCTGTTAATGCTCCCCCAAGGTTTCCTTCCTGCTGCCCTCCATCAGAACTGGGTGATCCCTGCTCTGGAAGTGAGGGGGCCTGAATTCTAATTCGAGGTGCAGTTCTTTATGGCGTAAACGTGGTAAATTGTTGCATATCCACCCTGGCCTGTTTAACCTTCTGCGAGTCAGGGGCATCATGATGACATAGAACACAGGGTTTTCGTGAGGGTGGAGTTAAAGAACACACATGCAAAGCCCTGCTAGGACTGCAAAGCTCAGAGAATTTTAGCTGTTAAGTGTAGTCAGCTGCATGTTTGAGGCATACTGACAGCCTAAAGCAATGCTGAAATGTGTTTTTAACCTCAAAGAAAATTGCTTTACCATCCCTTTGACTTTTTTATTTAAGTGATAATGTTAATAAAATGTATTTTATTCTTCCAGAGAACTAGGAACTGGTGAGGTACAGGGTGATGTATGAGCACCTTAATGTCGAGGGGATGCTTCTCTGGATGGTTCTGGCCAGAAGGTCAGAGCCACAGAATAAGGGCAATGAAACCGGTTGTCCAAACACTCAGAAATCATAGCTGTAAGCTTAGAGCCAAAGCTGATGGGATTGGTGTAAGAGTTCCTAGTATCAAGCTGTGTATGAAAAAGCAAATTGAGATGTCTCATCAGTCCATGCCAAGTAACTCTAAAGTGTTTTCTAACTTTGGGTTGGAGATCTTTTTGCTTCTGAACCTCTTCGGCAGCTTCCAGGTGCTGCCGTGATGGGCTGGGGGAGCTGCTGCCATGATGAGAGCCTGGGAAGCTGTGTGCACTGCGATTTTACCAACAGTTGCAGGCTCTTGGCACATCATCTAACCCTTCTCACCTCAGTGCTGTTTTCTGTACCATTATGTGACATGACTAATGACTCCTTATTACAACTGTCACTGAGGGGATTCATACATCATAAAAGGTCTCTCACAACCCCGAGCTGCTAAAATTATAAAGCTCTTAGTCAACTGAGAGTTCTCAGAAATGATTTTCTGCTTCTTGCTAGAAGCCTGGCTGGCTCTTGTCGGGGCCGGCCCTGAATTGCACAGGAAGCCTGGGCAGATGCTTGCTACTGCTTTGTACCTCATTTGTTTTTCCTCCGCTGCCTGAAGCTCAGTGGGTTCCCTTTCCTCCCCAGCACTGACCCAGGTAGAAATCATTAGATCCTTCACCGCCAAGCAGCCGGACGAGCTCTCCCTGCAGGTGGCAGACGTGGTCCTCATTTACCAGCGCGTCAGTGATGGTGAGTGGGAGTCTTCTCACGGGGCACCGGGGGCCCCACATGCAGGGTGTGAAGAACCAAGGAGTCTCCCTTTTGTTATTAATGCTCACATTCCATGTCCCTTCGGTTCTTCCATCTGCACAGGCCTCTCTCTTTGTACACTTTATTGCTTTTACGTTTTTCAAAAGGGACGAAGCCACATTGTTTATTATTCAAAAGGAACTGTGAAAGGTTGTCCTTTCTTCCCCTTGCCCCAGTGACCTAGTTCTCATCTCCAGAGTTTTTCCTTCTTTACTTAAACATAAAATTGTTTTCCTGCTGCCCCTACCCGAAGCACCCTCCTTCACAGCTTGGCCCGAGCTCCCACACCGTCTCAGCTGCCTCACCTCACGTTCTGGCCTTGGAATGCCACTCATTCCCCCTTAAACCCTTCCACTCGGCTCCACCTGCCTCTCCGCCCTTCATCATCTTTGATACCCAGTATCCTTCTCGGAGCCAAGCAGTCACGGTTCATGAGGTTCACGTGTTGCTTCATGAGGACTCCGTTCTTCTTTGCAGGCTGGTATGAAGGTGAGAGACTGCGAGATGGAGAAAAGGGCTGGTTTCCTATGGAATGTGCCAAGGAGATAACCTGCCAAGCCACCATTGATAAGAATGTGGAGAGGATGGGACGTTTGCTGGGACTGGAGACCAACGTGTAGCCTCTCTGGGGGCCTTCTGGGACTGCGAGATTTGCACGACGTCATGGCGGGCGGGCTGGTTTGGGCTGCCTTTCTTGTTCCCTTTAACGCAGCTGGTGTAATTAAAAGAAGGAAAACATTCACCTTAAGCTTGCCAGCTGGTTTTGCGCTCTCAGGAGAACCGCTCCTGGATACTGTTAGTGCACCAAGCTCAGTTAGTTAGTACACGGGGACCCTGTCACAGAACCTCTAGGTAGACAGAACAGCTGAGCGATCCACCCCAGGGATCAGGTGGCTTCAGCTTCCCCTCGTTGCACTGGGTCCGGCATCAAAAAATGCACACAAATGCTGTATCCCCATTTTCTCTATTCTCACTTAACAAAGAATGTGCTGATCTCTCTAAGCCTCTTCTTTATGTGGTTTTCCCAGCATTAGCAAGATTTTGTATCTTTAAGGAATACCCAGTTTTGTAAATATTTTCTTGCTCCTACATTTTAGATCTGATTAGGATGCTGTGCTGATTTAAAGGAACTGGTGGAGTTTTGAAGGTGAGCAAGGTTTTTTGGGACCTCTTCCCAGGAAAGGGAAATGGACACTTGAATTTTTGCTGCCTCTTTCCTCCTTAGCCAGGAAGTAAGATGGCCCTAAAGATTTTCGTAATCCATCTCGCTCAGCATTGGTCTTAAGTAAGGATAGCCTGAGAAAACTAAACTACTTCAACATGGAATTTAGGTGATTCACATATGTGAGAAAAAATCCTCAATACAGGCCTGGGCTCCTACTTTAAAAATCATCCCAAATAATGCTGATAAACTGACGCGAGGCTGCTTTGCCTCCAGTAATACAAGGTATTTGACTGTAACTGTTCTCCTTTGTTTCCAAATAGGGAATGGGCTGAAACACCCTTCAACACCCTCAAGCAGGACAAAATTAGGCCTTACAAGGTATCAGGAAGCCAGCATGGTACTTAATTGAAATGTAGCATTTTGCCCTTAATGGGAACCTAATTTATTTGCACTGAGGGCCTCACTGGCTGGATTTGGAGCCTCTCTTTCCTGCGGGTGTCTGCAGAGCTTTCTTTCGTTCCCTCATGCAAAGGGAGAGAAAAGACATTTTAAAAGTTATGTTCCATAAAGAGGGCCTGTGGGTTCAGAAGACCGAGAGGGGAGAGGTCATTTATACTGGCAGCTTTGTTCCTGCTCTGCTCCGACCTCTTCCACAAAGGGTTAAAACCTGGCCAAGGGTGCATCACTCAAGGGCACAGATCAATGTGTGACATGTCCCAGCTACCATCTGCCGGTCGGTTACCCAGATTGGGAGTCAGGCTGCAGAAGCCCAGTGCGGGAGGTCAGTATGCGTGGCTCACACACTCTGAGTCATGCCACCTCGGCTGTGAGCCAAGGTGGGCGCCCTGGGTCTTCGCCCCTGGATTGCTCTCCTTTACCTGTGCACATTGCTGAGTGTACACACCAGGCCGAGTTCCTTGACGTCCAGAAGTCATGGCAGTGGGCGTAGCGAGAGGTGTTTTGGAGTTAGCATGAAAGAAATCTGTCTCCTTCCTCTGTAACATCACAGGCTTTTTGGAGGAAAGGCTAACAAATTGTAGTCTAATCTAATGTGATGTTTTCATTTAGGAAGAAAAGTCAATTTGTTTGCCAAGGGATCATTTTGTATTATTTTTGCTAATAGCCAGAAGCTGAAAAGCAAGTATATGAGTCCTGTGAATTAATTTATAAGTAGAGGTGTTGAACAGTTTGGACATGGGTGCACCTGATAAATCAAAGCCTTGTTTAGCAAACAGGTCAATACTGTTATTAGGCAAAGTGTTGTTTGATGGCAGGTGTCTAATCTTCACAGTGTTTAAGTTCGACCGGGAATTACTGTTTTTACGTGACACAGCACTGTTTTCCAACTTAGTTCGGTTTCTAGAGTAGCTTCTCTGAATTGTACAATTTCACTCTGTGACCTGTGGAGAACAAAAATGATCATTTTCGTCCTAATGAATTGAGGCTGCTTGTACACTTTTGGTGAAATATGTGAATTTATAAAGATTTTGTATATACTCGTTCATTTGTTCTGCTGTGATTTAATTAAATCACACGGCACACGGCATCACTGCACAGAAAAAACGGACACACACAGGGACTCTAGATATTTCAGTCACATGAGACAATAACATAATTAGAATAGTTATGTTTATGGAGATAAAGACAAACTTTAAGACGCAATACAGAACTAACAACCACAAGTGTCAAGAGAAAAAACAACAGCCGGACATGGTGAAACTGGGTCTTTACAGAAGATGGTTAAAAGAGATACCGGTGAGCCTGCAAGGACACGTGGAGAGAAGAGGCATGTAGAATGCGAGGGCATTTATAAACGGAGTCCAGAGGGGAGTGGAGAGCGCACCTCAGCAAGGGGACTGCACCTTTATAAACCTGTTCTGACCACCCATGCAATGTAGACTGTCCCCAGAAAGAGGACGCAGCCTTGGGTAAGGTGACTTCCTACGCCTTCTGTAGAGGCTGATGGGTGAAGGCTGCCATCTTGACAGCACTTCCAGCAGCCGAAGGAGTAAGTCTATCTGGGCAAGAACATCGCAACGTTCACCCCAAGGAGCCGTGTCAGTATGAGATAAAACAGTCTTTAAGATAAAAGTTATGGCCAGGGGTAGTGAGTCTACATAATGATGAAAGTTTCCTTTAACCAGGAAGATAAGACAATTCTAAATACATATTCACTCAATGACATGATCTCAATATACATAAAGCAAAAATTGGCAGAAATGTAAGATCTAAAAATCACAGTATGAGACCTGAACATACCTCTCTCACTTGACAGGAAAAAGAGGTAGAAATAAAAGTGCAGAAGTAGATAAAAATCAAAAGTAGATACGAATAGCTGGTATAATAAGTCTATGCAGCAACTTCAGCATACACATTTTAAAAATACATAGAATATTTACATTTTGGGGGTCATACACAAGTTTCACCAAATATTAAAACTTCATTAAAGGACTGAAATTAATACAGAGTGAGTCCTCAGATTACAACCAAAGTAGGTTCAAATGAATCACAAAAGTAAAAGAAGTAAATATTTATCTGGAAACCTAAATGTAACATGAGAAACTATAAAACTCCTAGAAGATATCAAGAGAAAAATCGAGGTGATCTAGGGTTTGAGGGTGACTTTTTAAATACTGCACTGATCAAAAGCATGATCAATGAAACAAAAAAAATGGTAACTCGAACGCCATTAAAAGACAGAATAAAAAGACAATCCAGAGAAGGAAGTCTTGCAAAACATACCTGATAAGGGATCGGCATCTAAAATGTAAGAACAACTCTTAAAAGTAATTGGGAAACAACCTGACTTAATAATGGGCAAAGTTCTGGAGAACTCCCACAGCTATACCAATGGCAAATAAGCCTATGAAAAGATGCTAAAGATAATACATAATTTAAGAAGTTGTGCATTAATTAAAATGAGATTCCCATCACACACCTATTCGAATGGCAAACATCCAGGACCCAACAGGACCAACCTGGGTGAGGAGGAGGAGCAACAGGAACTGGCATTCACTGCTGGGGGAAGGCAGAAGCCCCGGGAAGACGGTTTGGCAGTTTCTCACGGAACTAAACAAACACCATGTAATGCAGCAATCGCAGTCCTTGGTGTTTACCCAAACGAATTGGAAACCATGTCCACACAAAAATCTGTACGCAAATGTTTACAGCAGTTTCATTCACAATGGCTAAAGCCTCGATAAACAACTTGACAGAAAGAAATTCAACAACTTTGCTAAAATGGGCCAGTGCATTGAAAACCACAAACTACCAGTACCTTAGTCTTGCAACTCCTAAGCACCATATTTTGCTGTGTATAATGCACTTTTTTGCCCAATTTTTTTAAGGGAAAATAAGGATGCACACTATACATGGGAAGAATGATTACTACATACCATGGGTATAATAATGGCGTCATAATCCCATGTATAGTGTGCATAAGATGTGTGCACGTTATACTCAGGAGTGCGTTGTACATGGCAAAATACAGTAAATAAAATTCTTAGTTTTAGCACTTCAGAAAAAAAAATATCCAGGTGCGCATGGTTTCACCGCAGTCTTCCACACACTTAAAGAATTAACACCAGTTTCATGCAATCTCCTCCAGAACTGAAAGAGGAAGTCAACACTGCCCAGCTTATCTTAGAGGTCTGCATTATCTCACAAAATCTATATACACTGGCACCTTTCATGAACAGAGTGGCAAAAATCTTAAAAGATACCCAGCAATATACAAAAATTATTACCCATTGCAGTCAAGTGGGGTTTATTCCCGGAATGCAAGACTGGCTTAATATCTGAATATCAACCAGTGCAATCCACCATTTTAACAGGTACAAAAACAGGAAAAAAACATGGCTGTATCATTATAAAAAGAATATTTGGAAAATGTTGAAATATTTGCTAATAGTCTCAAGCAAACTATGGCTAGACATCACCTTTGATACTTGGCTGACTCTGCTGTAGAAAACAAGGTTTCATCTGCCATTTCTTATTTTGTCGTTATAAATGTGTAATTGTCAGATCAGGACATATTTTATCCAAGACTTTTGGTATATGGCCTCCATTTTTCTTTGTATTCCAGACCCCACAAAAATGTCGTTAACTATCTGGTGTCTTAAAATCAAAAGTTGGTTTCCAGGAACAATGAAACAAAACTAAATAATTTAACACAAGAAAAGAGCTGTTAAAAAGAAAATGGGGTGAATGGAAGCATTAGAATACCTAAAAGGTATACAGCTAAAACGCCTAGAAAAATCAAAATCACCAAGGAATCAGTTTCATTAAAGGAAAGCTTTGCTAAAATGAATTTTATTCCTCAAGATGCCTTCGTTGTGTGAAGGTAACATAATACACTCTCCAAGGACTCAGAAATATGTCATTATCTTCTCCTTGAAAAAAAAAAAAAAACACTTGAAAATTCACCCTGGGCCACTAAGACATGAGACAGAATGAAGAACTAGAATGGTGGTCACAATTTAAAACGAGTAGAACAACTGTAATGGCATAATCAATAAAAAAATAAATTAAAAAAATAAAAATAAAAAAAGTAATAAAACGCGTCTCCTGACTCAGCAGGACCGACGGGATTGTCATCCAGAGGAAAGATCGACTCTGCGGTGCTTCCACGTCTGCCGTCTTCCTTAGCTCCCATGCCTACGTACACGTCACATCACATCGAGTGCCTACATACACGTCACGTCACGTCAAGAAATGCTGCCTCACGCCCCGTTCTTTATCAGGGTTGATATGCAGCCTCTTGACACCAGTCACCTGCCACTCATGCTCTTCTGGCATGCAGCTGACAATGACTTAATTCGTTACATCATACTAACCAGCTGAAGAGTGGCACATTTTGCCATTTTCTTTTTACTTATTTTTAGAAAGAGGGGGAAGGAGGAAGCAAGAGAGGAAGAGAAACATCAATGTGTGAAAGGCACTGCTGCCTCTCCCACACCCCCAGCTGGGGAACCCGGCCCGCAACCGAGGTGTGTGCCCTGACTGGAAACCGAACCAGGCTGGCGCTCAATCCACTGAGCCACACCAGCCAGGGCATTACCACTTTCAATATCAATGAATTAATAATTTTCTGCATCTCTAAAGTTAATAAAGAATCCTCTTTAGTCAGATATATCCCTAAAGCCCCAATTACTTACTTAACCTATGATGAGGTGGAAAATCAAAACATGAAGACAGCAAATAAGCACATGAAATATGCTCATCACTGATCGTTACAGAAATACAAAATGAACCCCAAGGACCTACAACCGCACATTCACTGTATGATAAAAGAGCCAAAGCCACAGCAAATTACAACCGAAAGTACCAGTGCCTGAGACACCTGGAACCATCACATGTTGCTGATGGGTGTGTAAAGTGCATGCATACCCACTTTGGAAATCAGTTGGCAGTTTTCTGTAAAGTTAACCACCCCATATGACACAACAACACTTATCAGACATTTACTGAAGAGAAATAAAAACTTCTACACACGAGACTCCTATACATGTTCATAGCAGCTTTATTTATAAGAGTAAATAAAAAACTGAACATGACTCAAAGGCCCATCAAGTGGTGAGGGAATAAACAAACTGGTACAATCACACAATGCAATTCTACTGAACATTAAAAAAAGAGCGGATCACTGATACATGCAACAACATCTATCTCAAAACCATTGTTTAGAGAAGCCAGACACAAGCGGCTACACATGGCTCCATTTATTTGAAATTCTAGAAAAGGCAAAACACTCATGACCAAAAGCAGATCAATGGGTGCCAATGGAGAGCTGGGGGGCAGGGCTGGGGGGCAGCAGGGGATTGACCACAGAAAGAAGAAAATTTTTTAGGTGACGGGAATGTTTTGTATCAAGATTCTGGTGGCAGCAATTACATGACTGTCATACATTTGACAAAAATCACAGAATCATATACTTAAATTGGCTAATTTTAATATATAATACCTTAATACATAAGAGTATGTAGATATATCAAAATGGGTAAAATGCTTGTTAAATTTCTAAATAGCCTGTAATGAGAATATATTGTTTTAAAATCAGAAAAATGCTATTTAAAAACAACATATTATAAATATGATTCTACCACATGATCCATCGCTAGTGCTTAGAAATATATGCAAACGCAGAGCTAACAAGTGGAAGGAAAATTATCATTTACTTCAGATAAGAGGGTACTAAAATAAAATCCTAAAGCTTTTCTATAATTTCTAACTTTTAGGGTGGACTGTTTCTAAAATGCGGTTGCAGCAAGAGAAAATAAATTGTAATAATTGGTATCATCAGCAATTTTCAACTGGTGAGCCACAAGATTTTTAAGATTTGTAATACCTACTTAGGAGCACTGACACCTTCCTCTGAATTGTTAAAAAAAAAAAAGAACAGCCAACACAATAGCTTTCTGGTGTGAATGAATCAAAATTGTACCTATTTTGGGGGTCAGTGGGTTTAAAAATTTTTTTGGTGTGCACAGAATTTTAGTAGTTTATATACGCCATGAGATGGAAAAGTCTGAAGTCGCTGGTATAAATAAATCCAGAGCTTTGCCCTACTCAATTAAGTTGGAAGGTGTCACATGGACTCACTCCTTAGACACTTTTTAACGATTATCCAGTTTTTTGTTTCCTTTTTTCCCCCCCGATAGTTTGTTTCAGGGTTCTCTGTTTAAGAGTTATCCTTGGATCACTCAAAATGGTAAGGCAAACAGATTTTCTTCTTTAATGCCTTATTCTTTAAAATTGCCAAATGACAAATAGTTCTCAGACCGGGAATACATTTTCAACCCAGTAACACGCTATTTTGTAAACAACAACAACAAAAAACAGAACAAAAATAGCACCTTCAATCAAAACTTCCTTCCTGATTGGCTGCAGAGAAGCCACAAACTGGGGGTGATAATCACTTAATCTCTTTGAATAGCTCATCTATTAAACAATTCATCAGGAACACTTTCCTCATATATAAGGAGACTCAATATTGGTTTGCAAACATGGAAATAATTAACTAGTAATCGTGTTTTAACAGATTTTTAAAAATGCTTTCTGCCAAGACCATTTTGGCCAACTGTGTATAAAAAAAGCAAAACAAAAACAAAAACAAGTCACCCTCTTTAGAACAAGGACCTAATGGTCACCTCAAGTTTAGGGGCAAAACCAACGTGCTACAACACTGTGACATGACTGAATGTAAGCATTCAGTGAGAGGCAGGTCACTTTTGAGAGACCAGCTGAAAGGATGGACTTGGGGCACAGGGGACCTTCGACACCCGGAAGGCGACGGCAGACTGCCGACACACACTCCCAAAGTAGAGCAGGACCTGAACCGGTGCTGTCAGCGGATCATTTCGGCACTCTCAGTAAATCCCAGTTGTCGCAAGATACTCTTTTCCTTTGGTTTCTTTGCATATATTGGAAGGCACAATAAAATGTGTAGCTTTTAGGGTACAGCAGGTTGGTCTTGATATGTTTCTTTGTCCAGTATATCCAGTACTTTTGTATCTTTTATCAAAACATATGGATCAAACCGTTAAATCACAGAATAACTAGAAAAAGACATTCAGCAAACAGTGCTCAGTGACGAGCAGTTTGTATTTCAACGACAGGTTTCCCGTGTCTCTGTACAGGAAAGGCAGTCTGGACAATTCTGCAGCTCAGCACTATCCAGGACGGAGGATTTCACCCGTCCCACTGAGCTAACCTTGGGACCACAAAACGGTGACAGCAGTCCTGATTCAGACAAGACAATCTCTGAAGATGGAGAGCACAATTTCCTCTTCTAAGTCTCTTAGTGGAGAAAATCTTTCCCAGATGCCCTTTGCAGGTCTCTTTTCAGTTGCCACTGCCCAGGATAGGCTCACATAGCCACGCCTTGTCAGTTTACTTACGTGGGGAGCGAGATCGTGCAAGGACTGACTTCCCGGGCACAAGGCCGCAGAGTGGGGGAGAACTTGAACAAACAAGGAGGGAGGGGCAAGACGGCTGTTGGATTAATAACCAGTACTCGTCACAGCCAGGTAGGGCTCATTACATTCACTACGTATCACACTAACTTCCACTGGCCAAGAGGATAAAAGAGCACGGAGTATTTAAAAAAAAAAAGTATCATAGAATGGACTAATAAAAAACATTTCAGGGACGAATAGTAAAGATTCAGTGAGTCTACTCTACATGCCAGGCACTATGTGTACATTAATACATTTAATCCTTAAAATTGTTACTATACTTTCCAGATAAGGAAATGTAAACAGAAGCAGAGTAACTGGCCCCAAACGTCTGGAAAGTGCGAGCTGAGCCTGAACTCGGGGTCGGACCCACGCGCCCAGGTTGCCAGCTGCTCCACTGCACTGCACAACGTGGTGGAAAAGGGCGTGAACAGTCTGCAGAGACTGCAAGCCGAGTAAGCCGAGGGGGGCGCTGGAGGTGTAGAAATCAAGCCAAAAATTTAGCTGAGATTTATACACAGTACATTTTATTAAATACTGCGTTTTATTAGAACAAATGAACCTCTGATAGATTTTTCGTTTAAAAAATGTGGCTGTGTTCAAATTCCTACTTGACACTGATTTTTGGCTAAGCATTCGACTTTTACTGGTTCTATACTCACTACTCATTATGGGCAGAAAAATCAGTTTCTTAGAACAAAGGAACTTCTCAAGTGGTGCAACACTCAATACACATAATAGAAATACTCAAAGTGTGGCCGTGACCACAACAGTGTGTGATCAGAGAGCACATTGTTTTTTATGGTGTATTTATAACAGCTACAGGTAACACAGCTAACTCATGCACAGTAAGTCTTCACTGCCTACTAAAGGTGCCCACCTTACACATGACAATTATTCACGTCCCAGGGTTTGGCCTTTAGCCAAAAGCTAAGCTATGGTGGAAAATCGCCATCAAGTTGGCTTTTCAGACCGCCACAGAAAAGCTGTCAGCTATAATATCCATCCTGCAATCGTGGCGGCAAGTTCCTGGAAGTGGTTTTTCCCTGTGTTTTGATCAAGTCTGTAATAGCTGAGAGCACTGCGCAGTCTCTGGATTTCGTGTCCTTCCAGTCTACAGGATGGGGACTTTCAATCTTCTCCTGCAGAAGGGTATCTAGTTCCTTTCTTAATTCCTAAGGTTGGAAAAATTACACAAGTTCAACAAAGACAGATAGATGCACAACAAAACAATGTAATAAATAAGTGACTAGCTGAAACAACTTAGCAAGCTATTATACAAAAAAAACCTGAAATATTTGGTAAAGATACAGTAAAATTAAAGAAACCAAACTTTGGTCTCAAGACACTTACAATGGTTGGTCTGTAACTAACTCAAAGAACAATTTGGAAAAACTATGAATAGATTTCTCAACATTATTTGCTCTGCTGAAAAATATCAAGCAACATTCCAAAATATGTGATACCTGTAAACAAAACCACAAACACTTAAAGTCGGTTACCTTAACGAGATGGGCAATTCTTGCTGGGGACTGAAAGACGATCCATTCGTCGACGGCAATCGTTTCCTGGTCATTATCCTTCTGGATGGAAATGTCTCCTCCGAAGAACAGGAGGCAGTACGGGGAGACCTCTGTGCAGTCATACAAGTATATCTGCAACGAGAAGGAAAGCAGATCAACACGCTGAAGAGTCTGAATGACTGCCACATTAACTCGATAATTATCACCAGTACCAATTTATTAGTATTAATCCTTCTAAAATAGGCATCCTACATACACTAGTACGTAGTTACATGCTAGTGTAACTACAGAGACTAGGTTTGAAAAAATACATTTTAAATGAACCATTCTTTATTAATTCAGAAATCAGTTTTATATTTGTTTCAATTCAAACAACAGTACTATTCTTTAAACAAAATATTTTCTGAGTGACAAAGCAAAACACTAATGTAGTTGAAATTATTTTTACAGAAATAAAAACAGAATCACACTTAACATTCTGACCAATATCTATAAGGTACACTAACATGCCAACAAAATTCTCTGTACAGTGTAAACTCCTGTACACCGGAAAATTCCAGTATTTCCTGAACACATGCTTTGAAAGAAAATTATGCAAATCAAATAACTCTCCCAATTAAAATACAAAAATGGATCATGACAGACCTGCATGCTAAAAGTAGATGTTACTTGCTTAAAGAAGTTATAATTCATGTCATAAATTTTTTATAGAACAAATTTTGTTTAAAATTATAAAAACTATATAATTATAGACACACAGCACTGACATTCATATCCATGATTATTTTAAATATTTACTTACACTACTCGTTCTCATCTTTAGGTGATAGATAAGCCAGTTGTAGTGAAAATCTGTCTGCTCCACATTAACGGACTTAGGATGAATAGAAACGAGTCCATCATTTTTTGTGTAAACTTTCACCCTTTAAAAAAGTTCAAATGTAGTTGTTACCAAAAAAATTCTGGGAAATTCCACACCAATCCCAAATTTAAAAAAGCTCCACAGGTTAGGTTCGGTTTATTTTTGCAATATAAATTTATAAATTTATTGAGGGAGTAATTTTTTGTTTTACTAAAATATCAGCTCACTGTGAATACATCAAATCCTTATAATCATGTATCAAATCCTCTTCTTGAAGGTATAAATTAGTCGACACATTAGAAAGGTGACAAAATATTTAATTATGTTTCTACTGAAGGACAAAGAATAAACTGAAGGACAAAGAATAAACAGCTAAAGTAGTTCAAAATGACTCAGACCAAAGGAGCAAGATATGTAATACTGTCAATAATGATACTAATAGCCCTCAATTTAAAAATAACTTTGTGAAAGGATTAAAACATTTCACAGGTTAAATATAAACCAGATGAATACAAAATAAAAAACTACAAGCATTACTTACAAGGGGTTTTAGCCACAACTGACTTTTACAAACCTAAACTACGTCTAAGCGGTCTCGCGTTCCCTCCAACGCCCCCTTCAGAAGAGGGGCACCTGGAGCACGTGCGCTTTGACACAGCTCTACGCCAGTCTCTTCAGTCCCAGGGTCCTTTCCTCTGACAGCCATAAAATTTTCATATCGATTTGTAGGGGTTTTTAATATTATTCAACGGGGAGATGGGTGGTGTTTTATTTTTAAATACTCAAGACTAATGACCTGTATTAGGTGACATAAAAGCTGCTGATCCACTGATCATATTTGGTTTTTTTTTCAGATGTTAGTTTTATTTTATTTTTCAATTGTAGTTTTCTTTCAATATTATTTTGTAGTGGTTTCAAGTGTACAGCTTAGTGGTTAGATAATCACACACTTTACGCCATTCCCCTTCAATATTTCCAGTACCACCTGGCAGCAGACAGTGACTGCGGCATTACTGACCCCATTCCCAAGCTGTCCTTGACACCCCGGTGACGGCCAGTCTCTGCCTGGTAACCCCTTCCCCTTTTTCACCCAGTCCCCCAACCCCTCTCCTCACCTCTGGCAACCACCAGTCCAGTCGGCTCTCTGTGTCTAGGAGTCTGTTTCAATTTTATTGATTTATTTTGTTCTTTAGACTTCACATGTAAGTGAAATCATGGGAAAGTTTCTTTTTTGTGCTTCTAGGAACTCGCAATACTTCTATCAATATCATAGCCGTTACTCAGAATAAACTCAGACATCACTTTTCCTCCCTGCACTTAACCAAAGCCGCCCTGCAGCCCTACTGCAGTCCAGGAGCGGAGCCTCACAGACTTGCCCGTTCGGGAGCAGAGAGAATGTTCCGGGCTTTGTGGGCCCTGTGATCTCCGGCATGACTCCAGGCCGCCAGGGAAGCAGAGGCAGACACAGACAACAGGTACAAACAGGCACGGCCATGTTCCAGTACAAATGTGCACAACTAGGGTTTGGCCAGCATGCCAAAATATGCCGGCCCCTGGTCTGGACCAAAATAAAGCACCAATCCAAAGAGGACTTTCTAAAAAAATTTTCATAAAGCCTTCCAAGGATGGCAGAGGGATATATAAAATATTTATATTTCAAAGAGTTTCTCTGATACAGTACCTGTCAAGTTAGGGATACACATGAAGAACTTGACAAAGTACTGATGTTGAAACATACCTGAACACTAAAAAACTGTGTATAATCCAGACACAATGGTTAAAATTCCCGTTACCCACAATCTTACATGTGAGAGTAGGGTTTCTGAGCCTCAGCGTTTTTAACACACCGGACTCTTTGCTGTGGAGGACGCCCCTACACTGTGGAACGCCTTACAGCACCCTCGGCCTCAGTCTATCAGCACCGCCACAATTACAACAGCCACGAGGTCCCCACTGCCGGATCTCCCCAGGGGCAAAAACTAATGCCCGGGCACAATGCCTGTGCTTTATCTTTGAGGTCTATGTTTTCATAATCACAGGGAATACAGTTTCTGCATTTAATGTCACTTCAAATATTCCATGTTACTACACAATGGCTACTTTATATGCCCACCTACCAGAAAAATATAATATGGCATCATAAAACCGTAATTTCCCCACTGCTATTCGACATTGTTGTTGTTTAAAATAGAGTTTTGTGGGGTTTTTTTAAAATCTAGAACTACTTCCTTAGGCCATATACCTCCAGTTAAAATTCTCACTTATGGATCCACTGGGCCGGTGACTGTTTTAATGACTGCTGACCTAGAGCACCCTTCAAAAGGATGGCAACGACTCACTGACACTGGCCATTTGTGACTTTGACTTTCTCTCTTTCCTCACTAGCTTTTATTAGGCAAAAATAGACCATGTTCTCTCCAATTACTACTATTTGTATATGTATTTAAAAGTCATTACTTTATTTTTCACAATAGTAAAATCACCATTTTATTCAGAGACAAATTACAAAATTACCTACTTTGTAAGAGGAAAAAAACCCCTGAAATCTATTCTAAGCAATGTTTATCTGGCATTGTTTTTCTTCTCTTTTCAGGCACTTAAAAAGTTTTACGTTTATTCAAGTTTAACATGGCTGTCTTACTCAGAGTTTGATACAGTATGACTGCAAATGTCCACTGCTCACATCAGGTCCTTGAACTTCTGGAATGAGTTTAGCTTTCTCATGTTTAAACTATTATACTTACTAATATGCTTTGCGAATAATGGGTGATGGACAGCTGATGCCAGGGGTATGCTGTGAGGGAAAGTGATGCCTCTGCTTACAGTTTGCCTTCTCTTAAATGATCAAAAGTAAAAAGAACGAGAATTCGGCCCCGGTGTGAGTAGGAACAAATGTACAATATGAGCCCTATTGCATTATAGGATTTCAAAAGTTTAAGGAGACAATTACAATTCATAATAATCTTCAATGCTTACATTTTTCTTTTTTTACCCAAATTTAGTCGAATTTTAGCAACTTTGGGATATAAACCAGCACAGATGACAGCTTTAATTATCTTCTCATTATCTATTAGGGATGGGGAGGCAGAGAACAAAGAGTAAAATACTGACACAACAGACAAGAGCAGCAAGTTGTTGACACTGTGTTTTCTGCTTTACCTGAATTTATATTAGATTTTGGATCCTTGGGGTTTCTACTGTTTACAAATCCCGCTCCAAGGAGATGCTCAGCAAACTGCCCCTTCATGTTATGCAGCATCTAGAGAGCAACAAACAGAACTAGAAAACCTTCCACAGATTTATGGGCATTATAAAGCACATATTCATAAATAAACTTAGCTGTAAGCTTTCCGGCTTTATAAAGTACTTTTGCAAAAACGTGATGTTTAAGAGCAGAGGATGGCAGATTACAAAATTTATAGAAACCTGTTTTTGTCAACAGTGTTTTACTGGAACACGGCCACACCCATTCACCTACATATTATCCATGGTTGCTTGGCACCACATGGCAGAGATGAGTGGTTGCAAAAGAGACCGCATGGCCTATGAGGCTAACAGTCATCATCCAATCTTCTACAGAAAAGGTCTGCCTGTGGTAGGAAATGACCACTGATGTTTAAGGATTATTCCATTTTGCAAAAAGACTAGTGTCTTCGAAATTGCTCTGTAGCCCGTATTTTGAAAGAAATAGAGAAAAAGTACAAAGAAAATAGCCAACATCCATCCACATTTCTACCACTGAAAATTAACTACTGTAGCTTACTGGCACAAAAGTGAAGGCCATTTTTTATTTTTAAGGAAAATCACTATGTGGATAAAATGATGCATGGCTCATTATAAAGCATCAAGTAATAATGAGAACTATGAGTGAACAAACTTTTCTAAACAATACTGTCAGAAAAGTCATCTACCAAGAAAGAGTACTGCAAACACTTATGTAGATCCAAGGCAGAAGAGGTAGAAAAGAAACACTATCTCAACAATGGGATAACTGTGTAGAAACTACTTTTTAAATTAATTCTAGTTCAATGTTGTAAAAGAACAGAAATGACACTGAACTAGATGAGTTCTACACTGGTCATATTTAAGTGTATCTTCCTTTTACTGATTGTGTGTGACTTGAGTTTCCCCACCTAATTTCTCTTACAGCTGACTTTCTGGTCACCTCCTAGTTTTCATTACCATTATGTTTTTACTGTTCAGGGTAATAACCTTTACATCCTATTCTATATCCACAATTCCTGTCCCTGTTTTGTACTCGGTGCCGCTTAAATGATTTCAGTGTACAGCCCCACTGATGGAGCATTCTCTCTCTCTCTTAATTGGCAGCATTTCAGTGCCAGTGAATTTTATAAGAACAGCTCATGGGCGCAGTATTTCAAGTGCTCTCTTGAATGCCTATCCCTTGTCTTTATATTTTAGTATCTTTACTGAATATAGTATTTTCAAGCAACACTTGGATTCAGCCACATTCTCGTATTCGGCGGTTCATTTCATTTTTTCTTTTTCAGGAAAATGTTTTTACACATCTCTCAAATAGATATTTAATCTCACTTGAATTTTCCATGTACAGACATTTATTATCTTTATGATGAATCGGTCCTGTCTTCCTGCCTATGAGCTTTTCACTCATTAACATTTTCCTTCTGCAGCTGCATCCATAAACTGTGATTACTTTAAGCCTCCTCTTCTATGGCAATCATTTGCTTTTAGGGCTGTCCATTTTGTTCCTTATAGTTCTTTTGGTCTTTTTCTTAGTGCAGCAGTCTTCTCACTCATCCCATGGGTTTATTTTCTTACAGTAGTTTCACTGAATTCATATTCTGCAACTGTTCTTTACTATGAAGCAGTTGTGAGGCATTTTCTGCTGAGATGTGCTGTGTTCCACTCCTTTTGTCCTTTGACTATAGCATCTTTCAGAGCTGCCACTATCCTTCTTTTCATTTGGTTAAGGCCTGGGCACTCTGGGGTAAATATGCTGGATTCCCGACTCTCTTACCCTCTTGCAGATGTGCTCAACGTCCAGTACGCAGAGCTGGAGTGTACCCGTAACGGGGAAAAGTGAGGACATTCCTATTCCTATTGGCTTGCGATCACTTCTCCACTCAGTGCATCTGCCCTATTTATAGATTACTTTCCTCTGTTTCACAGATGCTCCTGTCCAGTGTTCTCTCACTACACGAAATCAGCTAAAGATACCTACCCTCAGAGTTTAAGATATTCACCCTATTTGATATTAAAAATAAAATTTAGGAGTATTTGTGAAAATGTTCAGGTTGAGTTATCAAAATGTCAACTAGAGGGTAAGTGCCAGAACAGTAACTGAGCCTTGCTGTGTTTTTTTTGCTATAATCTAGACCCTTGCATCTTTTCTCAGCCATTAGCTTTTTGTTTATTATATTATACATCTTTTCCTGTTTTGTTGCAGTTGATTTAATAAAAATTTTGAATGAACCAACTTCATGAGAAAAATTCACACAATCAATTAACCTTTTGCTACTAATCTAATTGTACAAAATGCATACATGTATTCTCTAATCTAATATGTATAACAATCACTCCAAAACATTCGCCATTACCTGCAATGTGTTTGAAGACAGAAAATATTCCCAGCAATAGTCTTTTTCATATCTGTAACCACGTCGCCTAGCTTCTTCCCAGCCCTGTGGGGCAAAGAAATGAAGGAAACCATTTATATATTTTCCCCAAAGACTACTTGTCTGTCTTCATTTTGATAAAAGTTTAATCTTCCACTGATGTTTTCTGTGTAAAAAGGTCACAGAATTTTGAAATTTATAAACTAAACAAATGAAACAAAAAACACCTCCCCATGGTCCCAATTTTTGTGGTAACCAGCACTGAATTTTCTGAACTTTGTACAAGTTACCAAGTAATATATTGCGTATTTTGTACAAAATGGCATCATACTGTACATAATGTAGTAAATGAGAACTGTTAAAAATTTCAATGCTATCAAATGTTTTTCAACTTCACAAATATGACTTTTATTTTTTAGCTAGAGAAGGAGAAAGGGGAAAAGTAATACTGAATTAGCTCAAAGAAAAAAACTTTTCCATACCATGTAGTACAAAACTGAGTCTAGACGTTGCTGTCGCTATAAACCAAATTACATTTAAATTTTGTAAAGATGGCTAATAAATGTTTATCCTCTGATACACCTGGCTTTTGAGAACAGAAAATGTCTGTCTTCTGAGTAATGTATATGATTATAATGCTCTAACTAAATATTAAGTCAGAATATAGGTATAGTTTATTAATGAACAGAGAGACCTTCTCTCATGAAATGTCAGTAAGACAGATACAAGTGAATAGCAAATAAAATATTAAAATAAATTGTTCATTTGCTCAATTGTTATCAAATCAAAAAGAGACTTCTTTTCCAAAAGTGTAAAAATTTAAAAAGCTATTAAACTTAAAAATGAAATGTTTTAAAATGTTCAACTCATTTGAAACATTCTCACTTAGCAATTTATTCCTCATACCTATGAAATATAGATTTAAAAAGCTAAATAGGTTCCTATTCTATCATCAGCTTTTCATGTGAATAAACTGTCACAAGTTATTTTTTACCTCAAACGCATTCACTACTGTCAGATGGTCACTTTTAGAATCCTTTGCCAATTCCTTTCTTCTTGCATCTGCAACCTTTTCTTTCCCCTTAAAAAAATACAGACCAAGGAAAATTAAATAGTTCTGACTACATATTAGAACGTTCTAATGATAAACGCTAATAAAAAAACATTATCTAAGCCACCACTATCATGTGTACATAAAAATCCCTAGCCTTTCTCTTGTCTCTTACCAATGGAATGACAAAGGGATCCTTGAAGCTGAGACTAGCAGCAATGGTAAGTACTGGGTCTAAGCAACAGAACAGAGCTCCAAAAAGAATCATCTTTCCAATGTGTGGCTCAACTGGTAATCGTGCTAAATGGACTCCAAGAGGTGTCAATTCTTCTTCTTTATCCAAAGCGTTCTGTAGAGGACGAGTTTATGTTTAAAACAGACATTATTAAGCATCACAATTAAACCTAATTTTAGTTTGCTTAGAAAAAAAGGAACCTCACTCTGAAGCCCAAATACCCTAATACTGTTCAGTGCCTGTAGAAGTTATCTTGGGACTGAGGGGCAGTGACGGGATTGGGAGAGGGTGGGAGGCAGGCATTACATTAGGATACTGGAATGTTCTTACTTCTCGACAAGAGTAATGATGACAAAGTGCTCACTTTGTGGTACATCATTAACCTGGCCATTTTTGTTTTGCTCTTTTATCCTGTATGGGAATGCTATAATTCACAAAAATTTTGTTTTTAAATGTGGGCTCCAGCCCCTACTCCTGTCAAGGATTTGCTGGCCTTTTCAAGATTTTGTTGCCTGCAAATGATTACATAAAGACTGACTCTCAATTTCATTTGGGACAGGACACATCATCCTGCTGAGGGCTTAAGGCCCTCTGCTTGTCCATCTCTACCGTAAACAGGCCAATTTCCTGAGCACCACACAACTCTCCACAGCTATGTCCCAGTAGACAGAAATAGGGGAAACAGGTCGTTGGTAGAACTGTCCTGTCTCCTACAGACCAGTGACCTCACTAAACCTAACCTACACTCCACCAAAGAAGGGTAGACAGCAACGCAATGCTTTTTCACTTAAACCACTTCCGACTCTCCATGAAGTTATTGCAGTGTTCTGACATGGGCCAAATTCTCAAAATAATCTGCATGACTCACTCAAATAAAACTGAAATATGTAAAATATACCTTGGCATCCTCTAACTAGCACCCATCAACAGAACTTGCAGTGATGACAGACACGCTCCATTTCTGGGCCGCCCAGTAACACGGCAGTGGCTGCTGTTCCGACTACACAGCTCTAACCGCTTTTCCCCCACTCTGGGCTCTAACTCACAGCTAGTTCTGAGCTTCTCAACACCGTCTTGTGCAGGGACGGCTACCAAGAGATCACTTGACTAAGATACTAAAACGAGTTTCTCAAAACACTGATTGCATGAAAAGAAACAAGGAAAACAAGCTGTAAGAATAAAACGGCACGTAGGGGAATATGACATTTTGGAGAAAAGTCATCCATTAGTATTCCCTCAACAAACAAGAGTTACCCTTTATAAAACACCCATTCAAAGATTTCAAAATTGTAATTTTAAATCAAGCCTACAATGAAAAAAAAACTGTGTGACAAGGACTTGGTACAAGAACATAATGAAGGTTTCATTTTTATAGCTTCCTAACTCATAATTTATACACCAAGGTGAGCAGCCAAATAGTGCATAAAGTTGGGCACCATGAATTCACTGGTGTAGCTTGCAGTACGAGAGTAAGATTATAATTATCTGGCCTTTAGATGCTCTAATGCTCTTTAGGTAAGCATTTTTTAAAAAGCCCAGCTTACCAGTTCCATCAGGTGTTTTATGGAGAGTGACACTGCTTCATTTGATGGTGGGTCCATCAACCTGCTCAGAAAATGAGCAATCCCACCAAGCCGTAAGATCTGGGAAGGACAAATACAGTTAAACGTAGATCGTTTATTGACGTAATAGTCCTGCCCGTCACTCAGTCGAGGAACACATCAAACCTACCCATGATTTTCAAGTCAGTTATTTCATCAGAGTAAGTTGCAATTACATTTGTGATTCTATAAAAATATGTTTAAAGGCTGAAATACTACTTTTTATTATCCACCAACTTATTATTGAGAAAAGTAGTTGGTTAAAATCTCAACAAGTCAATTACCAATTATTTTAGAAATAAATTATATGAAAATATATAAAATGCTGGGGGGAAAAAAAGGTAAGTACTTTATAAAAATCTTAAGATGTAGTAATACCTCTGGCCAGTGAGGCTTACCTGGCTATAGCGTCATTCTGTAAACCGAAAGGTCATGGGTTCAATTCCCAGACAGGGCACATGCCTAGGTTGCAGGCTCAATTCCCAGTCAAGGTGCACACCAGAGGCAATCCATCAATATTTCTCCCTCAAGGTCAACGTTTCCCCTCCCTCCACCTTTCTCCTTTCTCTAAATTCAATAAGCATGTCCTCAGGTGAGGATTTTAAAAAATGATGTAATAACAGTAGCTAACATTTACTGAATGCTTACTATGTAGTAAGAAACTTGTATGAGTTTAACTTAAATAACTTGTCCAAAGTACCAAAAGTGGCTTGTGAGGAGAGGTGGTGGGCTTCAAACACAGACACTCTGGCTTCAGGGCAATACGTAATTAAATACTTTTAAACAAGCATTCAGAGGAAGTTTCAAAACATCGTTTACTAACACACACAGAAAACAAACGTGTGGTAAACATTAGAATGCCATCCCCATTTAATTTTTTAAACATGCACTGATTTACCTTTATTTGTAAACAAAGTTCTTCCAAAGGAGTTCTCAAGATCTCTGGCAGCTGATAGTCCTCTAGAAGGCTTGCTCGGAGACCATTATACAGATGATAGCAATGGCCAGGTTGAACTCTGAAAAGAAAAATAAAAACAAAACAAGGGGGGGGCAGAAAGGAAGCATTTGTCAGTGACTTTTCAGAACTCCAGAGAGAGTAGGCGGGGAAAGCAGTCAATATCTACTTCTTACAAGCCACAGCATAGCTAATTTACTTACTATTTCACTTTTATTAATCACATATTCTTTCTGCCCACCTATTTTGAAGAGCCTTAAATCCACTATCTGTATCCTATGTCCTGATTTTATGGAATAAAACACTTCCTCCCTGACCAAGAATTAGCTTCCCTATTTTTCTAGTGTGCTCAGTAACAGCAGTCTACTCCGCTTAACCTCCACATGGCTGTGAACATCTGATGTGACAAAGCCTGACATCGTGTCAACTTGTCTATATTATTTAAAATGCTTTTAGGTATGTGCTATTTAATGAGCTCTCAGAAGAATGTTGGAATTTTTTTTCCTTCACTGTTTGCTTTTAATGACATGAATGGTATTGTTCTTTGGACAATATTAAGGACAGAGGTGAAAAGGTGAGGATATGCATGCCATGTATTTTTAAAAAAACAACAAATAGTTCTATGGGCTCCTGCTGCAAGAGCAGGAGGACGTCCTTTTCCTGCAGGAATAAAAATAAATCTAAAAACCTTCCTATTTCTGTCCCAAGTTTACAAAAACCCACTGTTCATTACATAACATGCCTGCAGAAACTAAGAGTGCTTCCACCGAGGAGCACATAATATTGTTGCTCTGACCTTTGAAATAATTATCAAGCTAATTAGGCTTTGCCGAAGGACTTTACCTCTTTGGAGACTACAGAGGACTGTTTTTTATTGCTATTAAAACACTGTAATTCCATTTAACCTCCACTAGGAAAGTGGGGATTGAAGAGTTAGATAAAATTAATAGTTCATTCCTTGATTTTCTAACCGTTTCCAGATCAAATCTAGGACCTAGCATGTGTACTACTCATGTGCAGAAGTGCGCCAAAACCCGTTCACTATGAGGAATACCGTTTAAATCAGTATCCTGTGGTGACAGGTCTGTGTGGAGGAACCCGTCTTGCTGGGCCCCCAATCAAGTTATCCCCTAGTAACTGATGAGAAGGGTACATTCTTAGACTAAGCCATGCCCCTGGCTCAACAGCATGAATTGTGCAATACAATAAACTACCTAGAAGCCAAGTTATACTGGGATAACCTGCAAAGATAACAGCAAGTATGTCGGGGTTTTATAAACATATCACAAACTTAAGTAATGAAACAAAATGCATGAAAATGAACTGTAAGTTCAATTATTTGTGTTAAAGACAAATCACTTTCCTACCAATAAGACAGGGAAATTTTTATTTCTCATACTACCATTTACATCAATGGGAGAAAGGTACTTTCCTTGGGTTTTTGTTGGTAATTCATAGTGACAAACCAGCACAGATGTGAGTGTACAGGAATTCGGAGCCCAGACTGTGGAACCAAATGCCTGGAGAGTCAAGTCCTGCTACTTACAAAGCTGTGTGATTTTTAAAAAATTATTTTAAATAATCCATACCTAACTGTTCAATTTCTTGGTACCTTAATTTCCTTACCCTTAAAATAGAGGTAATAATCTACCTCACAGCACTGTACTGAGAATTAAGCAAGTTAATTTATATATGTATATACGAAGTGATTAGGAAATGACCTGACATTCAAATAGTATTAGCAGTTATTATTAGTAACATGTGCCTTTTTAAAAAGAAGTAAAATTATAGGCAGTACAACTAACGAGAAAAATAAAACATATTAATTTATATGAGCTGAATTAAGGAATAGGGTAGAAAAATCATAAAAAAGAATTCCAAAGAAACTATAATTAAAAGACTTTCTCGTTTAAAATGTGCTGTAGTAAATTTTAAAACACATGAAAGGTAACTCTTCTAAATAATATTTTCAATGCCAGTAACACTTTTTGCTACAGAAATCTTTCCTGTGTTTTTTAAAGGCTTCGGACGAGGTCCCCCCATCTTACCTTCCAGCTCGACCTTTCCTCTGTTTGGCATTGGCTTTACTGACCCACTCAGCAGACATTGTACTGATGTTGTTCTGCGTGTCAAAGTGTGTCTCCTTTATTTTTCCTCCATCTATCACATAAACTACATCATCTATGGTGATGCTATTTGGAAACAGGTATATAAAATATTAGAAACACATCAAAAGTGCACTTATCTATGAAAAGTCTACATGTGGGGAATGTAGAGCATTTCTATGGGATTAAATGGATTTTAGCAGTTCAGGGTTGCCGCCTCTCTTCCCACATTTACCAAAGGGACAGGACCCAGCGCCTCATCACAGGCAGCCTCAGCAGCTGCAGGGCAGCACAGTGCCAATTCTGCAGACATGTGTTCGGCTCTTACTCGCCTGCAGCCAAACTTCACAGCTTGTCTGTGACTTCTGTACCTATCTTTACCGCCCCCACCTGAGGGCCACAGTTTAGTATCAACCTCCGCAGAACAATGTTTCAGTGCTATACGCGTATATTACTACCTCCAAGAGAATACATACATTTTAAAGGCTGGAAATATCTAACTGCTGAATTACCAAACAATACACCATTCAAACATACAGGCACATAGAACAAAACTTGCATCGGCTCCAATGTGTCTTTAGGGAAGCTTTGAAAGAACACCTTAAAAGGTTGTTTTGGAAGAGGGCTAAAACATTAGTATAGGCTAAATAAAAATTTTAAAAACTAAACCTATGCCACTACCATGATTAAATTAAAAGATTTACTTCTGAGAAATTATAAAGTACTTTGTAGAGAAAAAAAGATGAAGAAGATATGTTAAAATAAGTTATTTGGCTTAAAACTAGTATAGTCACTAGCAGTTGACATGTAAAACAATCTTTACCTGGTCTCTGCGATGTTGGTAGCAATCACTATTTTCCGAACACCAGGAGGGGTTCTTTTAAATACCTATAAGAATAAATACATCAAAATCCCAAAACTACATTCATTTCTTATACATTATTCTTTCAGTTAAGAGAAATTACTTTAGATACTACCCATTTTTAACACTGTGTTTATTTGTTAACATATGTATGCATGTAACATTTATAAATGTATTTGTAGGTATACATCACTTTCAGTACCACAAATCCAGACTAAATCTCCCACAGATGTTAAAATCTTATCACAAACAAGAGTTTAAATGAAATACAGTAATTTATAGGATAGTTTTAAACAAAAACTGCAATGTTCCACATCTTACTGTGTAGTCAAACTTTTAAGGAAGAATTCTGTGTAAGAAGAGTTATGAATTACCCACAATTACTGGGTAAAAACAGCAAACAACCAGGCAGAGGCCCCAGTCGTGAGAATAAATATTAATGACTGTACCACCACATGCTAGCTTTTGAGATTAGACTGGATTTTTAAAAAGTCCTCTTCAAATGCTGAAACCTACCAACAACACAGCCTTGTGACAAAGTCACCCAAGTAGATGAAAGACACGCAATGCAGCCAAGTATCATTTGGCTGTAAGGCAAAAAAAAAATGCATAAATGTACCCCTTTATGCATAAAAGTAGTAATCGACAGAGAACATGGGGTTTCCCAATCTAGTCACAGACTCTGTGTCGACACTGGACGTGCCTCCACATTGGAGAGTCTGCCGACAGACAGCAGTCGGTCTCTGGAATCGAGAGCTCTCCCCCCTTCTCTTCCCTGGGTATGCACTCTGTAACCAACTCTGTGTCCAATCCTGAATTTGACACAGGGCAAAGGTCTCAGCAGAAAGAATATTAAAAGTCTCAAAAAAAGAAAAAAGTCTTGATAGTTTTTTACGACGTGTGAAAAAAACTAGGTGGGAAGACAGGGAGATCTTCTTGTCCATCTTGTTCTACCAAGGCCCACAAACACTGCAACCCAGACAATTACCTTGCCTTTGAGAATGTTCATTCTAACTCAGGAAATCTCGGAATATGGCTGAGCCAAAATATTCAAAACCGTAATACTACGTTATTGACAAAACAGGAAATCTCATACCTGTAAATATACTAATGCTGTAAATCAAATTTTCAAATATCAAGCTATAGTATGTCATTTTTATTGATACTCACACACTCTTTTTCTTTTACTCAGGAACACCAAACAAGTTATTGGTGAAAACAATCTTTATAAACTTTCCCCTAATGTTGACTGACTAATTTGATGTGCAGATTATTCTCTTATCCACATTTTTTTTAAAATCATCCCCTTGAAAACTCATCTGTGAGGTTCTCAAAGAAGTATTTTTTACCCGGATAACTATTTTAGAATATGTCTTAAAAATAAATAAATGAAATGCAGTAACAGTCCTTTAGGCTTGCCTCATTTTGAAAGACGCCGAATAAATTTAACAACATACCTGCGTCTGGTTAACTGTAGGCATCAGTGAATGTAAAGGTATAATAAGAAACTTGTCTGAAAATTAAAAATAAAATTAAACTTTAGGACAATTGCAGCTCCATCAGACACATACGGAACATAATTTTAAGAAATTACATTTATACATTTTAAGTTTCAAAATGAAATAGCTTAAGCCCGTCACGATTCTTAGCTAACAGAAAGTTTGCCATAGTATAGTGACGGGAAAGAGAGGGTGAGTGTTTAAGAAGCAAAGGCAAATTTCACATTTAGCTGTGGTTACGAAAAATGCAGTGCTGACTTAGGTTTCTAGCAACAGTGCCCAAGTGAATCAAGACAGTGATATTACCCCCAGAAAAGAGCTGTTGTTATTCAAAGGAGGTATGATGCTCCCCACACTCTGGTGACCCTCTGGACTTAAATAGTAGTAAATGCTGTCAAGTAATTAGTATTGCTAAGAAATGCTCCATTACTTCTCTGCGACATGACACAAAATACATCAACTCAATCCAAAGTCAAACCAGCCTACTTCACTCAGACCGAATCAAGCCTACAGATATAACTTCCTGTTCATAGAAAATTCAGGAAAAAAATAATCAAATGAAATGATACCATGAAGATTCAGACAAATCCAGAAAGTTGACCTAGCTTTTTCTGTAAGTCATCACCATGGGAAAAATAAGAGGAGAATGGGAGTGATGTTCTATCTAGAACTGGAGTTAGAGATTATCTGGTTTGACTTTGCTACAGTTGAACAAGCTCACCGTAAAGGACACTTTGGGGGCAAAATGGGGAAAACTGAATGTAGACTGGATTGTTTAGTGATGTTAATACTTAGGTAGGATAATGGCACTGTGGTTATAGAAGAAATTGTCTTTACTTTTTAGAGGTGTGTGCTTCTATATTTAAAGATCCCATGTAATAGCTACAACCTAAAAAGCAAAAAATTAGACCACTCTTGGAGTTGCAATAAAATATATTTCTGTAATACCTGATTTAAACATCACTTGTGACATCAAGAGATCATGTAAAGTGCTGATATTGTCCCAGCCTGGTAGAAAGACCAATATTGCACCATCCTGTATGGGGGAGAAATAATCATTACAAAGGATTACATAACAAAATACACTAAAAATCTGTACACACTTAATTCTTCATTAAAATTATACTACCTCAGGATAATTTTGGTTACAGATTATAAGTAAAAAGTAAAAGCTTGCTTTTTAAAAACAGAATTTATAAACCAGATTTTTTCATCTGTTCATTCTTTTCTTCAAATAGGTCAAATACCTAAACCATTTGGTATTTTGAGATTCTCATTCCTGGTGTCAAAAGCAATTTCTTCCATAGGTCGTTTTTAAAAGGCATTTAAGAGGCCCTGGCTGGGCAGCTCGGTTGCTGGGAGGGTCATCCCAATGTGCTAAGGTTGTGAGACCAACACCCAGTCAGAGCACCAACCAGAGGCAACCAGTGAGCACATGAATGTGTGGAACAACAAATGGGTATTTCTCTCTCCCTTCCTCTTCCTAAAAATCAATTACTTAAAAAAAAAAATGCATTTAAGGAATTGTATTTTTCTTTTTTCATGGCTTTGATATGAAAATAAAATTAAAATTATGTCACTTGAAGAAAACTAACCTCTTCTTCCAAAACAATGTATCGAATAAGGGCAGCAATCAAATTCAGATCAACTTTATCATCATCCATCATTTCTATAACATCTACGGTACTTGCAGAATACCTAGCAAAGTTAAACAGAAAGTCATGAAATAGTAACATTTCCTAATATTTAATGTGCTATAAAATCTAAAAGTTAATTCAACCTGCCAATAGGGGAACAATCAATAGATAGCAGAATTATTAGGAAAATAATAGTAGTTAGCAATCAAAATAGCATAGTATTCAGCTGGAATATGAGACTTGCAATAATCTCCTTAAATACTTACAAATTCAATATGATAATTGCTGCTTTTTGTTTTAGTCAGTTAGTCACTGTGTTCTGACTTTCAAACAAAATAAACTTACCTTTTCTGCAGTTCCCTTATGTAATCTGGCCAGCGATCTTTATAGATTGCTTCTTTTTCTTCTTTTTCTTGTCTATTTACATGCCCTTGCATGAAACTCCTCTTAAACTGGGATCTGTGTTCTTTTTGTTCTGGAACATATCTAAAACAAAAACATCCTTAAATAGCTTCACTTTTTGGAAACTCCTTGGTTTTAGCTATTATCTGTAACTTTTTACATTTAGGATTTTTAAAAGATTATAAAAAATAACTTCTAGTGAACACTAGAGTTAAATATCTAATTTGTAAGTGTTCATTGACATAAAACCTGACATTCTTGATGAAAACCATTCTTCTCTACCAAAGCACATAACAACTCTCAGTCATTATAAGCAGTCAAAATTAGAGTATGTTCACCTTCAATTTAAGTTTGCCCTAAAACAAAAGATAAACATTAAGTCCAAAATAATAGTTAATGTTGCCTAGCAGAAGACTCAGATTTTACATATAGGAGATTTCGAAAACTGAGTACACATAAGAATTCCCTGGAGAGTATATAAATTCTGAAATCCTATACCTTGTGATCTGGATTCAAGTCTGGCTGGTGTCTGCTAATTCAAGAATTTAATTGGTGGCCCAGGAGATTCAAAGAATGTGGTTATGAACACACAGTCCCATGCTTGAGAACTATTTCATTCTGCTCAGGCCCGCAGACACAGCTAATGGCAGAGCCAGAAGCAGCATTCGGACCTCTCGCCCGTCCAGAGCTCTGCTATGATGCCCCCGTGCTGAAGGGAGACGGCTCTAAGCTGGGCACATCTGCCCCAGGATCCCACCTATTAGTAAGTGGGTTCTGGGAATGTGGTGGTAGAAAGACAAAAATGAACCTGAACTCAAGCCCAAATCCCCTCACAGTTCGCCTGGGGGACAGCATCTAGATGGATCGGGGGGTTTGGAATGCGGTTTTTGTGAGTCAAATTATAGAATGATGTGCTTGTTCTGCCATTGACTACCTGTGTGACTTTGAAAAGGTGTAACTCGTGGATCTTTTGTTCCCTTATCTGAGAGATTAATATTGACAACAGCATTAGTATAAAAGTATGTGACAGAGTTAAAAAAAAAAAAAGCACGGTGCCTGACACACAGCAGACACCCAAAGAGTGTTAGCCCCCTTCCCTATTCAGTACCTGCGACCCGGGATCCCCCTAAGTCTTCGATACACACAGAGGCACAGACTTGAGGTAAGGCGACCTGAGACAGAGATCAGTCCTAGTCAGCAGGACGGACCCACGGCTGGCTCCCTTCCCAGCAGTTCCGCCACCAGAAGTCACCTTCGACCCCCACCCCAAGGGCCCAATCACAGCCTTCTGTCTCATCTCGCCCCACTTTCTTCCCTCCTTCTTCCCTGCAGCGCAGCTCTTCTGGAAGGTGAAAGCTGGAGTGTCTGCTCCAAACTTCTATCCAAGGACCACCCTCCTTCAACTCCCCTCTTAGGGATGGCTACATAGATACTATCCCTTTGCTTCAAGAGACCCGTTAGCTACGGTTCCTTGCACCTAACCTGCCTTCTGGACAGCTTAAGAAAGCAAGCCCTGCCCTGGCTGGTGTGGCTCAGTGGACTGACTGAGTGCCACCAGCCTGTGAACCAAAAGGTCACTGGATCGATTCCCAGTTAGGGCATATGCCTAGGTTGCGGGCCAGGTCCCCTGTAGGGGACATATGGGAGGCAACCATTTATCTCTGGAATACTCATGTTTCTCTCCTTTTCTTTTTCATTCCCCTTCCCCTCTCTCTAAAAAAGTAAATAAATAAAATCTTAAAAAAAGGGAAAGCATTCCATTTTGATATAATTTTAGATTACTGATCCTTGAAACTTAGTTTCATTATTGTCAAGCTGTTGATTAATATTCTCTTAGAAAACAAGTGGTAAATGTGCTGTGGTAGGAAGTAGACACATCGTGGAAAGTGGAATTGAGGAAGGGCATAAAAATTTTTGGACAACACCCTGACTGGTATGACTCAGTGGATTGAGTGCTAGCTAGCCTGTGAACCAAAGGGTTACTGGTTCAATTCCCAGTAAGGGCCGCCACCTGGGTCCCAGGCCAGGTCCCTGGCAGGGGGCGCACAAGAGGCAACCACACATTGATGTTCCACTCCGTTTCCCTCCTTTCCCCTCTTCATGCACATTGATAAAACCAGGGCGTGGAAGACCGATGCACCACCCTCTCTCGCTTCCAGCGTGCTCCATGCTCTCTGACATGCGCACTTCCTCTCTCTTCCTCTGAATGTCACTGCTGCCCTGCCCTGCCCATCCTGCCATCTATAAACTCACTGCCAACACAGTTTTCCCACACAGGTCAATCATACCTTAAATCAATAACGTGCATGCATCCCTGCCTGTAAGTTGTGAGGTATGTACCAAGTCTTTCCCAAGCTGTATGCTCAGACCCTAGCGCACAATCAAGACATAAAGTTCAAAATTCAGCTGACTTTTCTCCACGTAAAATACACAGCAGGATCTTTCTTCTCACCGTCCCGCTATTATCACCTTATTGTTTAAGGAGTGAACTGTGGAATCTTGAAAAAAATCTGTGTTTCTAAAACTGTCCACATCCTCATCCAGAGGTTTACTAGAGGCTAGGCACTGTGCTACATCCTAGTTACACAGATGAACAGGACTAAATCCTTGACCTCGAAAAATGTGGACTCTAGCACAAGAGGTAAATACAGACACACATTACATAGCAACAAGGTAAATGCTATAAGGGACATAAGCACTACAGGAGTCCCCATGAGAAAGCAAGTCATCCTGTGAGAGGTGTCACAGATGGCTTCATGGGCAATAAGGCTGGGATTTAGTTTTACATAATAGTTTATAGTCGAAAGGATGGAGAAGGTGGCAAACTAAGTCTAGAAGGAAATACCACGTAACAAAGCGAAATGTCACGAATGAAAGGGCAATCTGACTGGATGAGGACGGCTGGCATGGTAGGAAACACTGCATTTAAGATGGGCAGGCCATGGGACGCACGAGGCGACAGCAGGACTGGCCGAACTGTGCGGAGCCTTCAAACGACTAGCCTGGGGACTGGAAGCTGATCCTGTGGGGCTCTGCTGCCCCAGCCCTTTTCTGGTCAGAATACAAACACAATTCTGCACAGCTCCTTGCAGAAGGCGGCCAACAGCTAAGGGCCAGTGTTGAAGGGATCACTAACTTGAGCATACCAGCGAGATGCTCTGCTGTAGGCCATGATAACCCAATACAGGTTCTTAAACACGTTTTTAAAGGGAAATCTCAAGGACGCTGTCTAGGGGTAGAAAGGCACATGAGCAGATTTTTTTGGAAAAACATATGGCAGTATTTGAGAGAGAGAAAACCACAGTGCCAAAGGAGAAACTATTAAATTAACACAGAAGAGACATACAGATCTTAAGAAAAAGAAATAAAAGTGAGAAGACGTATATTCGAGGCAAAAGCTCTTAGGGTTTGCATTTTGGTGGGGGGGGGGGCGTAGGGGAGGAGTACGGAATGACTGAACGTAATTTGGTTACTAAACAAGTAAAGCAGCGAACTTATTCCAGTCCATAACTCCTTGATAAAACACTGGCTTTTTTTGATGTACAGCTTAGACAACTGGGCGGAGGATAACATCAGTACTCATTATAAGGCTTTTCTGGTGGAAGCATGGTGGGAATACGATGAAAGATGATTTCTGTTTTAAAAATGTGAGATTCAAGGTATCTGTGGTACTGAATGCTGCTGGGTAGAGTCAGACAGCAAGTTTAGAGTTCAGGAAGAGCTTCGGTTTTGAAGCTCTAGCTCATAGAACTACGAAAATACAGAAGTACAGCCATGGAAACAAAATTACACAGTGAAATCAAAACAGACTGAGAGACAAGGCCAGCAGAGAACTTAGGGGAAAATTATATTTAAAAGGTGGGGAATGGATGCCTGCAAAGGAGAAGGAAAAAAACTGGCAGGAGAATCAGAGCATCCTAAACTTTGCTGCCCAGGGATCTTTGTAAAAATACTGATTCCTGGCTATCATTGTAGTGTAATAGAGGCATGGGGTGTGATCATGCCATCTGGGTTTTAAAAGGCTGAGGGTCATTTTAATTTGCATTTGGGAATCCCTGATTTAAGAAAACACAATGTTTTAGAAGAAAATGGTTATGGTGAGTTTCTGAATTAAAGTCTGACAGAAAAGGTGACATTAGTATTTTTAATCTTCTTTATTTCCTAATATTCACTTACCTTATTTTTTCAATTATATCTTCCAAAAGATACTCCACAACCGGAAAAGTAAAACCAGGTATGTGTATCATTGGACAGTTACCTATTATGGTAAACAAAATACAAGTCTGTACTCAAATTTTCAAAGTAAAAATAAACAGTGTAAATAGAACAATCAGTCTGTTCCTTTTTTCAACTTCAGAAAATCGTCCTGAACTTTTACAGCTCAATCCTGTTTGTTCCCGTTACCTAGTTCCATAAAAAGCAGCAGTCCAGTCTTCACTCAGCCACTTCTTACTGCTACTGGAACATGTACATGTACCTGACAGTTCTAAAGTAACGCAGCATACCGAAGGATAAAGAATTTTAACTGGAACACAAAACCCTTAGTTTGAAGTCTACTTTCTCTTCATCAGCCAGGGCGGTGGCACCAGACCCCGCTTTACTGAGCACTGCCCCCCCCCGTGGCACACAGGGTTAGGAGGAGAAACAAGTAGTTAAAACAAGACCAAACCAAATACTACATTGTCACTTACTATTTTTAAATCATTGGTTAAAAAAAAGATTCTCAGAACTTTTTAAATGTTATTCATATTCTGCACCAAACAAACAGCACACGCTGTAAGCCAAGGACAACGGCGTGGCAGAGGTCACATCTGAGGTGGCGTCACAGCTCAGCCTCTGACCTTCCTAAGTCTGAGGAAGTCAGTGTGGTTCTGGACACCTAACAAAAAACACATAATCCACCCAAACCAATCTCACAAGGCTTGAGAGTCAGCCTGGCTAAATACAAGAACATGTATTAAATACGGCTCTACTCCATCTTAACTCCTTCCTTTTCCCCACCTTCCCCAATTCAAGCAGGAGGGAGTCACAATTTTAAAACAATAACTTTGCAGCTAGTCAAACTTAGTTTCAAATCCTCCTGACCTTCTGTTAATTAGACAACCTTGGGTAAGCTACTTAACTGTGCTGGGGCCGCTTTTCCATCTGTAAACATGGAAATAACAGCACGTACCTCACAACGCGTTATGAGAATTAATGAAGTGCCAAATATACTTACTGCCTGGCATACTGAAGGCATTTCATAGACTGTCGCTAGTATTGATGTTATTAGCAAACTGCCACTCTAGCCTATGACAGTACATAAAAGCCACAAAAGAATCACGAAAAGTTTATAAAGTTATTAACATTTGTGGTTTGCTTTCATTGATGCCAAGTTAATTATCTAAAGTAATAATCATAAATTTCACTCACCAAAATATTCCGAAAATTTCTCAGCATTCAGAGTCGCACTCATCAGTATGACCTTCAGGTCAGGTCGGTAACTGAGAAGATCTTTAACGACAGTCATGAGGACGTCCGACTGCAGATTTCTCTCATGGATTTCATCGAGCACGATGTGGCTGACACTGGACAAATGTCTAAAAGCAGAAGCGTGGTCAAGTGGGTAACTCAGTACAAAAATTAAAAATGGAACCAAAAATCAGTAACATCCAATTTAATAACTACATCTTTTGATCAGGCTTAACTAAATGTCCTGAATTTAAATAAACTCACGGGTCTGACTGGAGCCACTGAAGAATGATTCCTGTTGTACAGTATAAGATAGAACCCTGTTTCCTTGGCAACCGGCTGTGAATGAAAGACAAGTTAACGACACTTGGTTTTCTTTACTAGTAAAATACTAAGTTCCACAACCATTTAAAAGAAAAACTTCGATTTAAGAAACATTTAGTTTTAATGTCTACACGCTTTATTTCTTAGTTATAGGAATGCCTACCATGATAGGGTAATAAGAAACACTACATTCAAGTTCATCATACATTACTTTTGTTGTCATAACATTAATAATTTCTTTTTTAAGGCATAACCATTCACATTCAGAAAATGACCCATTACCTATGGCCCAAACTTGTGTTCAGTAATTGGAAAGCCAGTTGATTTAAAAAGGTAAATAGAACCTTGGCCTCTAGAGAAGAACTAAGAAATACAGTGAAGTGGGGTAGAGGGTTAAAGATGACGAGTTCAATAAAGCTGATCAGGGGCTGGGTGGTGGTACCCACATACAGGACAGCAACTCCTTTCAGGGCAAGTGATGGTCTACTGATATCTGATCGGAACTGAGTTATGTTTCTAATGATTCCGCAATACAGAAGACATTAAAATGGCAATCCAATTCTGAATTTGGGTTAAAAAATGACTGTGGGTCACAAGCCGCCTATGTTTATTACTTTAAATGTTAATTAATAGTAATAATCAGCAGAAAAATGGGCAAAATCTTTTTTTTTAATCTCCAGCTTCAAATTTTTACTAAAATCTACTTGTAAACAAGAATTGAACATTCTTTACCTCTGGAGACGAATTTGGTATCCAGTACTATTACCACTGCCACAAGATTCTGCCCTTTCTGCAGCCACTCTCTCTGCAACCTTTAATTAAAATACAGTTACAAATGCGATTTCCTTTCGTACAAGTATTCTGAAAATCCGTGAAAATCTGTGATTGCTAATTGCTAAAAGACTGTTCATCTGATTTTCCAGAGTTAAAAAGAGGTATTAAAATCTGAGCTAATGCTGTGTGAGTCCCTTAGGCGCTGCAGACTGCTTGTGTTTACTTTTCATTTCCTCTTAAGCTCTCCAAGGTCAAGTCCTCTCTCATCACTATTTTTAAAATGTCTTTCTATAGCCATCCTCTCATTATTTTCTCTCCTTTCATACAAAACTTGCGTGGAATTTGAGAGTAAATATATATTATTATATTCTTTTTGTTTGTTTCTTTTCATTAGAGATTGGTGTTTCTTAATTCCTAGTATCTTAATATCGGATTGTGTTCTCAAAGTTATGGCTGCCAAAAGCAAGCTCTGGATAGATGAAATGTTATAATCGACACTGATTTGAGTAACTGAAAGTCCCAACAGTCATCTTGTGACAGACGGTTAGAAACAGAAAATGACATGATTAATTTTTAAGAAATAATACTTCAAAACTAAAACTTCACAATCAATATATCCCATATACACCATTATTTCACTTTATACTACTTATTGGACTATTCAAAACCAGGAGATTTCAGAAAAAAATTTTTTAAGCTATTATCAACATTACCCTAAAGGAAAATGAAAAATAAAATGAAGGACTTCATTTCGAAAGTGAGAGGTAACTTACTGAAATGGCGCTGATTCTTCTGGGCTGAGTACAAACTATCCTGCACGCAGATCCTTTGCCTCTTTCAATGTAATTATCCAAAATGAACTGGGTAACCTGAGTGGTTTTTCCACAGCCAGTTTCACCACTAATTACCGTCACCTGGTTATTATCAATCATATTTACCAATTCCTATTACAAAAGGAAAAAATAAGTGAACGACATCGCATGTTAAAGTCTAAAAAGACAGTTACTGAAATTCTATGAAACTGAAGTTAACTGCTTCTAACAAACACTAAAGCTTTTTAAATTTTGTTATGTAGAGTGCTGGTAGTTTGGGTATCTGGATCTACCAGTTTGCAAGAGCTAAGAAGCACTAAATTATTAAAAAAACAGAGCCAAGGCAGCGTTAAATAAAAATACACTGGTAAAAACAAGAAAGGAATGGTTTGTAAATTCCAGGCATAAGAATTAAAATTAATTAAAAACAATGTTGATGAGGGATTATTGAGTATAAGGCAAATATCCCCAATACCTAAATAACTACTAAAGACATTAAGGATTTATATAATAACTCATAAGTATGGCTTTAGACATAAATATTCATAAATATGTCTGTAGAATAAGTTATATATTGTTTTAAAATAAGAGTATAAAGACATTTCTTTCAAACAATTAAAGATTTTGAACATCTAAGTTACCAAAAAACATTTTGAGAAAATTAGTTTTTAAACTCTAAAGATTTCAATTATGGGCATAATATGAGCAAACTTCAGATATCATTTCACAACCATTTTTTATTTTTGTTTTTCAACAATTCAAAAGAATAAAATGAACTTCCAAGAAAATCCTTTAGAAAACGGTTCATTAATTTACATCTCTTAGTGTAACCCTTCGTACAAAAAAAAAAAAAAAACTTGTACTTTTAAGTATTTTGCAAATCAGACAGTGCATAATCATTTACCTTTTGCATTCCAAATGAAGGCAGCTTTTCCCTGAAATGCTAAAATTAAAACAAAATGTTACAAATTTTCACCAAAAAACAGAAATTATAACCTAATACATCAAAATATATCAATATGCTAGAATACAAAAGTATTTTTATTCCCCCACAGCTTATGGGAAACATTAGGACTCAAAAAAGATTTTACTAAAAACAAAAACAACAACAACAAAATTTAACTGTTATCCCTTTGTTTTCGAAATATTGAAAAGTAAAATTCTATTACATCCAACAGAGTGGAGAGGCCTTCTTGGAGTTATTGACAATGAAATCTATCGACTAATAGCATTCTTTCAGGCTCTATGTTACTTTTATATTTTTTCTTTCTTTTACATATTCATCTCAGATTTGATTTTTATGTCAGATTCTTTTCCTATGCATAGATCCACACCATTTATTAATGCGCTAAGCACTGGAATATATTGAAAGATTATTCCTGAGTACTTGTCTTTGAGTATAAAAGCTTAAAACAGTCTCAGCAATTATAAAATGTGGTACTGTCATTTAAGAACTGTAATCTTAAGTCAAACTTGGAGTCTCAAGGTTTTATCTCTGGGCTACCACAGATTTGAATGAAAAATCTTTACATAAAAAACAAGTAGCTGTTTCTGACACATATAAGCTACTCAACAAGATTTTGATGAATTACAATTAGAACACAAAGGAGAGGAATGATGGATTCTTTTCTGTAACTTTTATGTGATAATTTCTTTCTAGTTTTGAAAACTTTTATGGATCCCCATGCCTTCACTATATAAAAATGACATACACTAAGCAGCAGCACTATGGTTTACAATGAACTAGGTATATATCACATGAGAACCTTCAGTGGTATAAAAAAATTGACCGATTATGACAAGCCCTATTTATTGAAAAGAAAATCTGCAAAATTACAACAATCCGAGGTAATCTAGTATATTATTGCCATGCTTACTTTTTAATTTCATGAAACATCATCCTTGTTAATTTTTGCCTACTTGATTTGTCAGGATGGAGAAAGTGTTAAAGTCCCCTAATACTATTTTATTGAGATAACAGTTGACATACAACTTTGTATTAGTTTCAGGAGTACAACATAATAATCCGTTATCTGTATATATTGTAAGATAATCACAATAAATCTGATATCCATCACTGTACATAGTTACAAACGTTTTTTCTCGTGATGAAAACTTGAAGATCTACTCTCTTTGCCATGTTCAAATACACAACATCCAGCATTATCACTGACCACGCTGCACATGCCCTGCTTGTCATGGTCAGGTGAGTGGTTCCAGTGCTGGAAAACTGAGTCGGTATGTGACTTCAATAATGTCTAGTGCTTTGAGATAACAAGTCACCATACTTTTCTTTGTAATTCCTTTGATTATAATTTATATATTTTTTAAAAATTCTGAATAATTTCTAAAAATAGTAGTATCCCAAGTAGTTAAATGCAGCCATCTTATTAGTATATACAAGCCATCTTGTGAAATTTGAAACTAGCATTAAACATATTTGACTTCTATATACATAAACACTGCTAAAGAGAGAATTATAACCCAGTGTTCTGTCTCAAAGCAAGTACACCTTCTATTTCCTAATTTCTAGCTGTAACCCTGAGATGAGGTGATGGGAATATAAACTGAGGTCAAGGAGTGTCTTATGAGCCTTTGGACAACACAGCACAATGACAGGCATGCAAGCAAATGGAAAATTGGTGTTTAGTAAATAAATCGTGAAATAAATAAAAATATAGCATATCACACCAAGAAGAATTAAAGAGTTGAACTCAGATGTGTTTTAAACACATCTGAATTTCAGACCGGATTCTGTTTCTAGCTATGCACCTCAGGTCACTTTCTCTAAACAAGTAGAATCCCACACAGGGCTATTGGGAGATTTAATGATGTAGTACATGTAAAGCTTTTACAACAAATGTACTACTTTCTCTTGTACTACTTTAAACATTTGAGTTCTGTCCCCTATACAAAGTAAGTAGAGAGTAGCTAATTCTCCTTGTTCCTAAGGCAATAAAAGTTCTACTCTCAACCATGTGATGAATGAATTCACTTGAACTCTCCTCTGTCCTTACATTTTCACTCAATAGGAATAAAAAACACTACACAATTTGGCTCCTCGACAACCTCAGCTACCTGTTCTGAACAGGATATCCGATCTTCATCAGCAACTGTGAGTGTACCCTTTCTTTTCCACAGGAAATGTGACTGATATTCTGCCTTTGTCTAAAACAGCAGTATGTACATATTAAAGATATGGCCCTCAGAATTTTCACCTTAAAAAAAAAAACCCCACACAAGTAAGAACATTTTTTTACATCTATCTCTAGAACATCCACAAAGCATACAACTTTATGTTTAAGTAGGAAGGACCTTAAAACATCCTGCCTAACAAGAAAAGAAAGTACTGGGGAAAAAAAAAAAAGGTCAGGACAATTTTAGAGAGAACAGCCAATTTCAGTTCTTGTCACAGTCCTATCTTTAAAATGTTGAACATAAGCAAATCATGTAACTTGAGGCATTTAACATTACCATCAGTAAAAGGATTAAAAAGAAACTTCAGAATTCTAATTACCTTGTCTTTTATGATATCTCCCTAAACTGGCCTAGAAAAGTTAAACTTTTAAGAGTGATTTTTTCATTTGAATCACCATTTTCAAATACTTCTTCTCCTCACCATATAAACTACCACGGATGAGATAGGCTGCTGTAGGCTATGTGTTATTCCAGTCCTGTTGCTTTTCTCTATTTTATGGGAGGGAAAAAATTCTCTGAGGAAGGCCTGTTGAGGAATCTCACTGATCTATTCCATGAAACTAGTGCTAACCATAAATATAGTTTAGAAGTTTGAGAAGACAAGCAAAAATTTTTCCCGTATCTTGCTTCCCATTACCTGCATTTCAATATACCGAGGGTCAGTTTTTTTCTTTTGTAAATCTTCCAATAACTGTTGGTCTACAGTGACATCTGGTTTATTTTCTTGCAAGAGATACTCAGAATCTCGGTCAATATATTTGTCCCTGATTCTAAATGTCCTCTTTTCTTGATTTATCAATTTTTTTTCCTGATCCTCAAACTTCTTCTCTGAGTGTGGTTTGTTTTCAGCAGGAGCTTCAGTACCGTATCTATTTTGACCAAAAAAAAAAGGACAAAGGGTTAAATACCCACACAAGCCCTGAAACAGAACAATATGCTGTTGAATTATTTCCAAAATCACCAAAATCAAAAGCTTTTCTTTTTTTCTCTTTAGTAGAGCAATTATTAAAACACTTGCATTCTTAAAATACACTAAAATTTTTCCTCCTTCCAAATAGATAATGCCAGGTAAGTTATTCCCCATAGTAATTAAAATACTTTTAAATTCACACAAGTCACTCCTCCTTTGCAATGGCGTGTTTTTATGAGCCTTGTTGTATTTTACAACTTCATTTCTTCCTGCTACCTTTTCTGAGCACTAAATGAGATGCTACCTTACACAGTCCCAGAAAAACTTTTACTAGTTCTCTCTAAACGATGCAGTTACTGTGATTTTCTTAAAACTGCCCCAATATAACTTCTTGCAGGTCTCCCCCAAATAAGAATTTTGGAACTACAAAGATGATGGGGATGAAAAACAATAAATAATAACTTAACAAATCTCATATGCAGATAAACTATTCCCATCATTTAGCTCTTCTGTAGGAATGAATATGCCATCTAATTTTTACCCTTTCAACAAATTTGCTCCATCTACATAAGGAAAAAAAATACTTTAAGGCTAAATTTCACTTAGTAAAATAAGTCTAAAGATGTAATTTTTATGATCATTTTTCTTCTAGCCAATGCTATGAAGTAAGAGTCACTCTTTGCCCATCTTTTAAAAGAATACTTTTGTTTTACCCATGATCCTCAGGAGCAAACCAGGATATCTGTGACTCCGAATCCTTCTCATTCTTAGCTTGGACAGAGTGCAGGAGCTGCACGATCTGCTCTTCTCGGTGTTCGTCCATGTGCACCACGGCTCTCTATTCCATGCAAAGAAAAGGCATCCCCATCAACATGAGAAGGCACGTGCGAAATTATCAGACAAAAAAATAAAGGTAAATACATGTTCAACAAACATATAAAAAAGAAAGTTAAGTTTCCCCACACTTGCCCTCTTACCCAATTCCTAGATCTAGTGCTAATATTTTCATTCATATCCCTCAAGACCTTTTTTCTACCATATATGTATATAATTAGCTGTAATGTAACTGTCAAAAAAAAGATATTTATCTTCCTTCCTAGAACTTTGGTTTCCCTTACCTCCTACCCTCACATTTTATGATTTTGTTCTCTTAAATTTTCAGATACCCACAATTAAAGTTAAAGAAACCAAACACTCTGTTTAAAAAAAAAAAAACTATGTTAAAAACTGGAAATACTACTTTGGCTGCAATGAGCATTTTAAGAGCCTTTTAAACCTCTTACACTAAAAAGAGGAATAAATTGGGAAGAAGGCTGAGCTGAGAGAAAACGAAATGATCACTGTTCACAAAGGTGACAGTAATATATGGCAAATGATTCAGTTTCTTCACAGAATGAGAATGATTTAAAAAACCACACCAGCCCTGGCCGAGTGGCTCAGTTGGTGGAAGCATCACCCCATGTGCCAAAAGTCTGCAGGCTCGATTTCCAGTCAGGGCATATACCTAGGGTGGGGGTTCAATCCCCAGTTGAAGCACATGCCTAAGGTTGTAGGTTTTAATTCCAAGTCAGGCATGTATGAGAGGCACCTGCTCAACGTAACTCACATCTATGTTTCTTTCTCTCTCTCTCTCCCTCCCTCCAATAAACATATCTTTGGGTGAGGATAAAATATACACATGTACTTGACACACACACACATACTGTGTGTGTGTGTGTGCATTCCCTTATGTGAGAAGTGACCAACAAGTTTGAAAGCCACCGTCTACTTCTACCCTCCACACCTCACCACACTCCACAACCACGCTCTTCCTGGCCTTTACCTCTGCCTGAAAATCCCGCTCCAAACCTCAAATCCCAAATACATACATATTCTGCTATCTTTCAAGTTTCAGCTGAAGGGTTATATCCTCTTGAAATCTTCCTGATCCTCCTGGAGTTAGGTAACAGCCCACACTCTCTTTATTGTAATGCTTTAACATTGTATTCTAACCATCTATAACATCTAATACACCACTATCTCAGTAAGGTAAGAACCTCTGTAAGGTAAGGTTATCTGCCATATTAACACAGTGCCTAAGATATTATCTCAAACATATTAGATCCTCAGTAAATATCTGTTGAAAGAGTAAGAGTATCATTATAATACATTCACCTGGTAAACACAGAAAGTACTTAAAAAAGTAAAACTTATGCAAATGGCTAAAAGTAATCAAAGGCAGGATGAGCTAATTATTAAATAATGCTCATATGTAGATATGGAAAACGGAGACATTTTAGAGAGTGGAATGGTATGAGAATGGTAAGAAAAAAAGCAAAAATAACAGTATGTTTACAAAAGTCATAATTACATCAGATTGCTGAATGAGCTCCAAAAGACCAGTACGTAGAGGGAGACCTGGTATATTGAGGCTAGATTTCCAAGGTCTCTGGAACACATGTGAGGATGCCACCGAAATGAATTAGATTGAGTCAGATGGAAACTTGCTTCTAATCTCCAGCTGAGAGCTAGAGAATGAGAAGACTTACTTTTTGCTTTTAAAAGATCACCATGAGTGTGGCTCTACAAAGGACAACTAGTGGAAGCTAGAAGACCAGGAAGGAGGCCAGGAACAAAAAACAAAATGGCTCAACCTATGGTAATGGCTGTGGTTCGACTGGGATACATAAAGTAGGCAGGACAAATTTGCTGAAATAAAAGAGAAGAATCACAGATAAATCCCATTTTGGCCTTGGCAAGTGAATAAACTGTAGTGGCATTTACTAAAATGGAGATCTGCGAAGACTGGAAATCAAAAGTTCCATATGATGCATCACACAATTGGTTTCAGGTGGAAATAACAATGAAGAATTATTCCGGATTTACTTAACTTCTCATCCGTTAAAGTCTTATTTCCCCAATTAAGACTGTAAGTTTCTTGAATTCCCCATAACGACGTAAGAGCTCGTGTAAAACAAGTAAATGGAATTCGATAGGGAGTTCCTGGAAAGTTACTGTGGGTTTGTGGTTGTTTTAAAAGTTAAAACAAAAGCTGGTCTACTCTGAACGCTCTACACGCAAACAGTGCTTGGCAGTTTTTGTTCCCGGAAACCCTGTATCTAATGCAGAAGATCGCTGGTTTAGACTCCATCGGGCAAAAATTTTCAATAAAAATGGCCAAAATTATTTTAAGGGAAAGGTCTGCCAAAGATACAATGGTAATGTCACCCCACACCGAATTTATTTTCGGTCGGAAGCTGGAATTAACATTTGCTTTGTCCACAGTTCCCTCGACCTTAAGCAAAGTATTCAGCCTACAAATATCCTAACAGCTTCAGGTAAGAGGCGCATGGCTAACGTCTACTGTATCTACCATACAGTATCTTCTGCAGGAAGCTTTAGCATAATACCTTTGCACTTCATGTTAACTACACAAAGCGCACCAGTTAAAAAACCAAGAAAGAAGAATAAAACCAGGGGAGGCAAGAGAGAAATGAGAAGCCCTTGCATGATCGAATCTCGGGTTACCTCCTGCCTCTCGGCTTCCTTGTTCTTCTGCCCCTGTTTCTTCGCGTACCACAAGCCGATTTCGCGGCCTTTCAGGTGTCCGGGATGTCGGCCCCGGCCTCCTCGACCACCCCCTCCTCCGCCGCCGCCGCCTCCGGAGCCTCGGTTCCCTCCGTGGCCACCTCCGTGACTTCCTCCACAGCTCCCGCCGGAGCTTCGGGGCCCACCATCGCGGCCCCAGTTCTGATGGTAGTCATAGCTCATTGTCCCAGCGCACTACAAGGCATGAGAACCTGTAACCGATAGAAATGGCGACGGGACCGGAAGCGAATGTAGGACCACTTCCGCTTTGCTTCCGGCGCCCTGAGCGCGAGGGAGGATCCCAGAGCGTCACAAGGAGCCATTTCTGGTGGCGTCACCGGCAAACGGGAGATCTGCTAAAATTGAAGTCTGCTGGATGTTCCCTTTGTTGTCTACCTATGTGCGTTGTGTGGGGAAGCGGGCGGAAGCCCACAAGTTTTATTTTCCTATCCCCAGCATGTAAAGAAATGGGTTCTACTTTCTTACTGTTAAAATCCAGAGTCTGCGTTCAATTAGTAAATACAGACACAATAAAAGAACCTGTAGACAGAATAAAAGAACCTATAGGATGAAGCATTCTCTCCTAAAAGTCCCTAAAGAAATGAATTTATCATATTTTTTTTCTAGTGGTACGGCTTGGAAACAGACTGGTGCAAGTTTCAAATATTTAATTAAGTAAAACAATGTCCCTGCCTTTTTCAAATTATCACTATTTGCTACTACCTTTAGCCAACAGCGTAAGATGAGCATGTCTAGTCAAATTCAGTGCACAGCAGTTAGGCAATTAAATAAAACATCAGTTGAAGAGTTATACGTTCATATGAAATTATCCATTGTTGATTGACTAGGTCACTAAATGTCCAGCTGTGATCAAACAAGGGACTAAGCCACACAGGTTGGATGTTCACCGGGGTATATCAGTTTATTTACAGATGTAACTGATTTAAACGCACTAGGGATACTCACTGATAAGACAAGCAGGACGTGGGCTTTCAATTGTGTACCATCTTGAGAAGATAAAGGTTAAAGAAATTAGTCTGCAGCGAGACAAGAAAGGGAAATGCTATATGCTGGAAAGGGGTTCAGCATACTAAAAAATATTGTAAGAGAGGCATTTGGTTTCCTGAAATTGCTTATCTGCCTAAAAGCAGAGCCACCCTTTGGCTCCTGTGAGTAGAAAGGAATGGAGGTGGCAAGAGTGGACGGAGAGACACTAGTTACCAGCTTGTGATATAGGGTGGCAAATGGGATGACAGATCAAGATGGGATATGGGAAAGACTGGAATTAAGAGATATTAGGAGATAAAATTGTTAAGATTTGATGAGTCATTTAATATGGAAAATTAGAGGAAAAGGTCAGATGACTTTAAGGTTTGAAAGTCTATCAAATGAGTCAATACCATATCCTGAAATGAGGAACGTAGGATGAGGAGGATTATTTTGGTTGGAGGGAGAGTTAAGTTAATGTGTTTACATTGTGTATGTAGAGTTCCAGGAGCCTATGAAACATACAAATTGAGATGTCTAGAAAGCAGTTGGTTATATGAGTTTCAAGTGCAGAGAAAGCAAACTGAGATGATGCATTTGGGGAGTTCTCAGCTAATATTAAGAGTACAGGAATGAACAGTTCCAATGAAAGCACCCTTTGGGCTCACCTGATATGACAATATATGAATTGTTCAATAGGTAAGAGAGCTAGGCATATTGGAGATGGTAGGGGGAAAGAGTGTGGGCTGTTGGGTGAGAGAGTGTTATGGATTACATGTGTCCCCTCAAAATTCATGTGTTGAAACCCTAACCTCTCAGTGTAATGGCATTTGGGACATAGCCTTAAAGAAGTAATTAAATTAGACCATAAGTGTGGTACCCAATCCAATAGGATTAGTGTCCATTAAAGAAAAAACAAACAAACAAACAAACAAACAAACAAACAAAAAACAGAGCTTGTTCTCTGTCCCCAGAAGAAAGGTCATGTGAGAGCAGCTGTCACAAAGCCAGGAATGGAGCTCTCACAAGGAACAGCAGGCATCTTGATCTTCGATTACACAGCCTCCGGAGCTGTGAGAAATAAGTTTCTGTTGTTTATGTCACTGAGGCTTAAACCTGCAGCGTTATGTTAGGGCAGCCTGAGCAGAGTAATAAAGAGACTAAGTGGGGAAAAGAACTACTAATTTTTGCTCACTTAGGATTTGCCAGGTAGTGGGCTAGTTGATTCATATCTGTGATTAGGAGAATGATGACCCCCAAAGATTTCACATCCTAATTTCTGGAATCTATGAATATGTTGCATTACGTGGCCAAGGGAATTTAAAATTGCTAATCAGATGACCATAAAATGGGGATAGTATCCTGGATCATCTGGATGAGCCCCGTAGCTATAAGAGCCCTTAAAAGTGGAAGAGAAAGGCAGAAGAAAAGTTCATAGTGATGTGATAGGAGAACTCAACCAGCTTTTACTGACTTTGAAGATGGAGGAAAGTGACTAGGAGCCAAGGAGTGCGGGCAGCTTCCAGAACCGAAAAAGGAAATGGATTCTCCCTTAGGGCCTCGGGAAAGGAGTATCCTGACAATGCAAACAGAGACCCTTGTCAAACTCTTATGCTACAGAACTGTAAAGTAATACATTTGTGTTAGTTAAGATTCTGAGTTTGTGGTAATTTATTGTGCCAACAATGGAAAAATAATGACAGTCCATATTTTACACAATCCTCCTGAAAAACCCAGAGAGAGGTAGTGTTATTTTTTCAGATGAATTATTTTTCTTCATTTCATGTTTTTCGATCCTAAGCAGAATCTTAGTTATGAATTTAAAATCACTAAGTTTTCCTGATGTCTTCAGCATACAGTACAGCACTGATTAAGGTTATCACTTTTGGCAGACACTTAGCACAAATGTCATTGTAGTAAAAATCTGCACAGAAGGGGGATTTTTGAAGAAAGATAAGAAGGATATTGGTAAGAAGAAAAGCGTCATTTGTTATTGGGTTTTGGGTTTTTTTCCAGCCTCAGTTGAAACCACAATAATTTTTAGGTTATCTAGTGCCAGAAAACAAATGGTGGGACTGATTCATTATAATCGACATTGTTACTCTAACCGATGCTCTGCCACTTATTGTGCAAGCTACAAGTTGTCCTTTCCACTGGTCTCAAGTGTCCTCCCACCAATCTTTTGGTTGCAAACCCACGGTGTTTGACATCTAACTCTCCCAGTCATCCACCTCCCAGTCCAGCCACCTATGAGTGAGCCACAGGAGACTGGCAAACTATCACAGTTTTCCCAGTCTCAGGGAATCTCTTATTCTTCATCTTCCTTACCTCAACCCTGTGAAACAACTCATGTAATTTTTCACGGGCTTAAGATTCATGAAGACCTGGGTGGGAATTTTTTTAGTGTTCCCCTTGGAAAATAGAACCCTTAATTGATTCATGCTTCCTCTTGGAGTTTGGATAGGAGGGAATATGTTGATATAAGTAATCTTAGACCTCTATAGAATATAAAGTCTAGCTGTTAAGGATGAAAAATGGAAAAAATGTAGAAAACATTTATTTTTCTCTTATGTCAGAAAATATGGAAGAACATATTAAATAATGCAATAGAGTATCTTGTCATATAAAAATTTTGAACTGAAACTGGAAAAGTTTAATTAGACTGAAGATATTGGAATTTGTAGGGAATGACTCATCTTAACTATAACTTACAATGAAATCACAAATTTACTTAAAATACCACTCATATCAGCAAAGAAAATGTCAGGCGTTTCTTGCTTTGTTTATTACTGGTCTAATGCCTGGATTCACTCCTTGCTAGGCAATAAAGAAATAAAGGGAACATCACAAAATTGTCAGCTCATTTTTTTCAAGTAATTATGAAGTTCCACTCTCTATTAGGTCTTTTTCATCTTTCTAATGGGAGGTCTTTATAGCTGAGGGCTGGAATCATTTGCAGACATCTTCAAACCTCTGCTAGTTAATGCTGGTTTGTAGCTGAAACTTTGTCAGGCCACGGGCTGGAACATCTACACATAGCCTCTCTGTTTCATTTCTGTGTGTGGCATAGTTTCAGCCTCCTCACAGAATAGCAGCTGGGTTCCAAGAACAAGTGTCACAGAGCAAGGTGGCATTTTTATTAACTAGCCACAGAAGTCCTGAGCTCTATACGTTATTGGTTGAGTCAGTTACAGATGTCCAATCAGGTTACAAGGCAATTAGGCTTTTCCATACTGCAGGAGGTGAGCCAAGGTCACATTATAAGAAAAGCATGTGGTATTGGCGATATTGTACAATCTGCTCTAAGTGCTAGCTCAGATCCTCTCCAAAGCCATGTTACACCACCATTATGACAGTTTCACAGACGTTTCATGTTGCATCACAGTCACTCTTGCTATAGTCCATGTGACAACCAAAAGTTGGAAATGGAGTGATAATACTGTAAGTAGCATTTAATAAGTGCTTATTTTATGTCAGTTACTATAAGTAGGTACTCTTCTTTTTCTTTATTTTAATACAGTTAGGACAAGAAACTCAAGAAATAGAAAAAGTAAAGAATGGGGCCCCTCCAAGAAAAGAATACCACTATCACTGATAGAGTTTATAAAAAATAAAATAGTCTTAACAAAAGCTAGAAAAAAAACTAGGTGTCTGCACATTACTTATGTTGTCTTGCTTTATAAAGCTTCTGTTTTCAATCATTAAAACTTCATTGATCTATTTACCAGAGATATTATAAAAATACTAAATGGACATATTTCCAACCCTGCACCCATAAACCAATATTCCCCAATATTTCACAATTATAACTCCAGAGAAGAGAGTGAAGGTGGCCTGGGGAAGGGTGATAGGAAGAAATGGAAATCCTTGGCATATACGAAGTAGAACATGAAGGTCTTACTATCAGGAGAATGTGGAGGGCATTTTTCCCTGTCTCAGCTTTTGCCACATTTCCTGCTTATGGGTTTCATGGTTATAGATTTCACTATATCCGGTGTTTATGCTAAAGAGAAAAATTACTCATTGAAGCTTTGTATGCCCCTGGAATTCTGGGAGATTTTACTTTTCTAATTATGTCAAGTTGATCTGTTTCCCTTTATGTCACTTTCTTCCACCGGTTTCTCTCGCTGTACCTTTGGGGAGTCTTTTAGACATATCCGGGTTTTTCCTGGTCTTAATTGCTGAATATTAAGGTCTCTTGATTCAAAAATATTAGATCTTTGCTCTTACCCAAATCCATCAAGG